TTTAAATACAGTATTGACAGTCCTGTTTCGCTAACTAAAAATTCACATGGTATGTATGAGGAATCATCATCTCTTATTAGCAATTCACAACATCCTCGTATAGGCAGTTTGTGTCGAGTAATCCCCAATATTGATACTTCAGTGGGTCGTATCACAACGTTCGGATCTAACGATTTCAGGTTCTTGAATGAAATAATGGACTCTATACTGCCTGTGTCCACAATAAAGTCATGAAATGAACCAAGTGATGTATATAGTCGCTTTTGAATATGAGCATTACCTTTCGAAATGGTAGTTAAAGATAAATGATCATTAGGATCAGCTGAATTATTGGGATCTAAATTACAAGCTTTAGTACTACTTGAGGCAAAATGAACAGTAGCTTTGCATACTGCTTGAATGTGTCCTATCTTACCACATCTAAAACATTTAGCATTACGAAATGTACATTAATAACGAGAATGAAGTTTTCCACATGATAAACATTTGCCAAACTTGGTCTCACCTTTTTGATTTCCTTTGTAATTCTTTTTTGAGACACCGTTCATTTTTACACGAGAATCGGAACCTCTGTTAAACGAACACAATTTTGATTGACCCTGAGATTGTTTTTCATCATGACAACTAATCAAAGTATTGGAAATCTTCATCGACTGAATATCAAGTTCATTCAACGCCTCGTAGTTAATGCACGCAGTTCTAACATCGTGAAAGGAACAGTTTGACATTCTTAACAGCTCTCTTTCCAAACTAGGTATGTTAATTCCTGCAATTAATCGGTCTCTCAGCTGCACATGAAGCTGATCACCAAAATTACATTTGACAGCCTGTTTCTGCAATTCAAGAATGAATTCCTTAACATTTTGGTCATTTTGACGAATCATCTTATGAAAGTTCGCTCTTTCACGGCATTCAAAACCAGGGCACTTTACATGATTCAATAATAACTCCTTAAGCATTGCATAGGGAAGTGAAATAGGTTTTTCTGGATATGCCAAGGTTTTCAATAAGCTGTACGCTTCTTTTCCGATGAATGTTAGGAAATGAGCCACAATTTTATCATCTTTGACATCTTTCCTGGTCATACTCCAGATTTCAAACCTTTCCAAATAATCTTCAAAAGCTTCAGAAGTAGAATGAATATCTAGCTGTTCCATTACAAGTTCCATCGCGACGCCAGTGTAGTATTTAGAAGTATATGTATCAAGAATTAAAGATCTGCACAAACGAATGTATTGTATTTAGAATTCGAAATCAAGCATTCCACAACAACAAGAAGTTACTAGTTCATTCAAACACCACAGTTATACTTCTTAAAATAATTTAAGAATTATGACACGGAAATCACTGCTTCCAATTTTTCAGCATGCTTGTTTGAATCAGGTTTGGTTCTTCACTGTAAGTGTTTCAGTGTTCTAATTGCCTTAGGAATAATCAGCACACTGAAGTCTACGCCGATGATTCCGTAGGAGGATACTGGGGTCAACTCTGACTCATTTACTGGATCTTCGTTTGTTAATGAGGTACAATTGTGTTTGCTAAATAGGTATGTGATACGTTTAGGGCCTTCGTACACTAGTCTGTCCTTATTAAATGCGCTCTCTCCTTTCACTTTAGAGCGTTTTAATTTATTTCGAAGGATTTCGATAAGTGTAGAAGGTTCAATATTCAGTCCGACAACGCGTTTCTCCTGAGCAGTCACCTCTTTCATACGTATTACGTCTGCTTCAAATATCGTAACTAAGGACAAGTCATCGCGGTTATTTGCAGTTATTTGGTTGTCTTCAGTGGATGGTAGTCTAGTAAGTTTCCAGTAATTTATGAATTTGTAAGTCCCGTGACTTTAATGAGTGAGTTTCTATTCCTTATTTACTTAGGTCTGAAATCTTATTATCAGACTTTTCTGCTTAATATTCTTCACATTGCAACTAACTGATCTCCGGGCTGCCGACGTGATGGCTGCCGGTGTCCAGAAACCCTACTTCCCTGAAGACAGACGCACTGATTGAAATCAAGGGATACACAAATTCACAAACAACTGAAAACTGACTAGAATTAGACAGTCAAGTCGCTAGACTCCCATTCATTGGACACTACCAAACACCTGAAACCGTACCGAAAGAACAAGAATCGAGTGCAAAGAAAGCAAGTGGCTTTTACTAGCTGGTGAAAAAGTTACTGGATATTGAACAACGTTTCGAAATGTTGGATAGTCACAATAATTCTGATAATACAACAAACTACGAGCTGCAGGTCATCACATTTCGACATATCCCTTTTATTCTCCACGAAAAAGAGATGATTCGCGATCCAACGTACCATGAGCTAGAGGCAAAAATATGCCTCAGTCTACGGGGTCTTCCTCAATCCAAATGCACCTGTTGTTTACGATTGTCTCGAAGAGGCGATTCTCAGACATTTTTCCCATCGTGGCGGTTACGGTGGCGGAGCTTATCAGCATACCACAGAGTGACCACCTCGAGCGCTTGCAGTCTCTGGCAGGAACTTCGACGGCTGACTCTGACATAGTCAGAGCATTGTGACTCGAAGCACTACCAGCTCATTTAAAGCCCGCGAACACAGTACTGCTTGAGGACACGCCTCCTTTCAGAGTCTCCCACGTAGCAGATACAACCAATGCAAGGGCTTATACAGCTGCCTCAAATTCATATTCGAACACTGATATTGATGCTAGTCACTCTCCAGTTAAAAGGGATGTGGGTTGTTGTATTCGTAGTCGTCTCAAGTTCCAAGACCATGCCGCCATTCCAGCACCTCACGTTCCTCGTACCAAATTACCATCACGTAAGGCAGCAGCTCATTTCCACCCCAAGCGAGCATATTCCAAGCCACGCCAAAAGGCGGCTGCCGAATCGAGCAGTGGTGTTCGTAAGTGTCACCGCGCCTTCGGGCCAGGGCCCATCTATGTCGAGCCCCCACGCTCATACAAGGCGAGGAACTCCTACGCTAGTAAGTAAAAGCAGCCGTACTCGCCGACTCCCCACCCCAGGCTGGTCGTCTACTTTACTTGCACAGTAACCGCATCAACTCTAGGTACCTAGTGAATACTTGTGTCCAAGTTTCTGTCATACCGTCTGGTAACAGCAAGTTGCAAGCAGCAACGCTTTAACTCCGCGTTGCAAATGGTTCTGTCACTCCTACCCACAGCTAACGATCAGCCTGAGTAACTGACGAAAGTGTCGGTGGACGTTCATCGTTGCTGATGTTCCCACAGCCATACTCATTATCGATTTCCTACAGCTCTATGAATTACTATTTGATTCACATAGGCTGCAATTATTAGATACTTCGTCGAATAATATCTTCAAGGGTCTTAAAGCTCAAACAGATGTGTACCGAAATTCTTGTTGATTTTTTTCGTATGATAATGTATTCCATTTCTCATTTTTAAGTTCCCTCAGTTAACTAAATGGAGGAGATTCCCCCACCGACAGATCGGTTTTTGCTTAGTGTGAGTCTGAAAATTTACTTGCAGCAGTTGCTATTTCTTCCTTCTATAGTCCTCAGGCTTATCCTCTTCACACCGCCCTTGACTTCGAATGAGATTGTAGTCTCACGCTCTCAAACATGAGGTACAACCGAGACTACCACCTCACGTTACGGTCGCTAGTTACATCAACCTGCTCGGTTTCGCGACTAGCCTCTCAATATGCAACGTATAGGATGTGAGATTCTACCCCTTACTACACAGTTGCTACACCTTTTTTCTTTTTCTTTTAATTTTTCACCCTGAGCCTACGCCTGCGACAAATCGCCTTTCTGGTACCGTCGACTTTACTGAAATTGAGCAGTAGCTGGCCTGGTTACTCACGCCCTTGTCAGTGGACTCGGTCGATATTCTGGTTCCGACGACGTATGAAATACGTTCGACCCCGAATCTGGCTGGTATGTTCTCTTCTCGTTTCTCGGCTGAACCTGGTTTCGTCCTATGTCAGTCGCGTCTTTTGTTCATGATATCCAGTTTTATTCTATGTACCCTAGCTAAAGATACTCGTTCATATAACCGCACCAAATCACTATTAGTTATGCTTTGCTACGCATCATCCTTAGCAGTTAGTCAGCTTAGCTCATTCACTTCTCAACATATCGACTAACTAACTACTAACTATATCTTTGATCTTTGTTTCTAAATTCTGATTTGACTGGATTTAGGATCCTTGATCATACAATTGTGTAAGTGAAGACCTGAATATCTGTTATATCGTTACATCCATAAACTAATCTCCCAGTCGATTTTTCATCTAGCTTAACGGTTTGTTACTCGCTTACAAGTGACCATTTACTTAAATTTTTTCAATATCCAATAAAAATAAATGATGAAAGTTTCAAATAACGACTATTTATCAAAATAAGCAGCTAATAAGTTTTCACATATCGTCAGAGTAAAATATAAGTGCTATCACGATCATAAAACATCCGCACGGTATACTCATAAGCACTTAATTATTTATTGAGTGATTCAAATCTTCATTAGGTTGTTGCGTTCATAAAACCATGATTTCTTTCCAGTCTTTTCACTAAACATGAAACTAAATGTTTCAGTTGTATAATTTCAGTATGTAAATAAAGAAAGATCAAACACCTTTGATTAAACACAAAACTATTTTATTCGTAGAAAGAAAAGCGATTGCACAGAAACTAAACAACAAAGTAACTTGAAAAACGGTGGTAAATTTGAATTTAGTCTACAATGAAAACCAATGTAAATACAACAAAATAAAATGGAACATTTTTCACACAAACGAAACACCAAAAATGTCTTGACAAAAAAAACATTATCAGATGTAGTGTTTTTTTTTGGATTGATGAGGAAACACTTTTTAAATGAAATTGATCACAAAAAAAAAGACAAAATTACGAATTCCGTGTGTGTTTCAATCTTGTCGGAGAGTGTGCATACATGTCAAATGTGTATATATGTGTATGTAGTGGAAATTATACAATAAAATAATGACAATGAGAAGGAAGTTCAATTATAATCAAAATAAATAGATTTTGAGTAATAATTGATAAGTCAGCAAACTAAACAATCCTGTTATAAGTGGTGTTAGAAAACCAGTCGGTCTCTAAAAAAAAATATACATGTAAAGAATAGAAAAACGTTAATATGATTTAACCAATACTAAACTTATATGTCTATGTGTCATCATCAAACAACCTATCCATTCAGAAGAAAAAGATTTTGAAGTATAATCAGTGAACATGTCACAAATCTTGAATTTAATGGGTAAGTTTTAATAAGTAAATATTTTTTTTCTAAGATTTAAATTTTCCCGTAAAGTAATCTTATATAAGTTCTATTAGAACGGCATCAGGGAGGTCAATTAAGTAAATTATTTTATGAGTATCAATTATGGGAAAATATGTCACTACGTCACAGTTATTAATAATCAGTGAGTTAAGAGTGTACGTGTATAAAATAGTTAAGTAATAATTTTGTAAACAAATCGAATCCGTAATCAACTACATTTTGATTAACGGCTTGGAATGTATTCCGAAATGAGTGTTTCGGACTATCGAAGACTCATCAACCAAAATTATCTGTATTTGAGTGTTAGGCAAATGTTCGAATACAAAATCAAGCTCAGTACTCATTGCATTGACCTTCAGACAGTAACGTAATGGTTATAAAAATCACGAAATCTAGAAACATGCTGTGTTGACATTATAGTCAACGTGTAAACTGACGTCCAGTATTTCCACTCCAAAAGCAAACACAAATGAGGGAAATAGTCAGTCAGAGATAAATATATTTGACAACCAATCGTAGTCTAGATTCTCCATCATTATCACAAGTTAATAGTGTTTGTTGATGATTGAATAGTGAACGTTTTACAAACAACTAGGGTTGAACATTTAACCAAACTATAAAATTATTGTTAATTAAATATCATTGATCATATTATTCATAGATAATCATAAATGTGTTCGGTTATATGTCTGAATAAGGTTATTGAATAAAAATCCTACCATAAACTAGGTCTTCCTTTAAATGACAATATTATTCTTCAATATGTTCATCATTTCTTGTAAGTGTTGTATAAGATCTCGATTATGTTTTTGCCGGAAGTTTTAAAAATTTACAATAAAACGCAGCTGGGCATGACAGCAAGAAAAATACTTGTCATCAACTGAGATAAACAACAGCTAATTACACAGTTTGCTACAAATAACAGCCATGATTGCCATAGTTAATCGATTACAGTCTATGTATGCGCATCTACTTCGTCCCGTAAGTTGTGGTTTTAATGGCGTACACAGCATGTTAAGAATGAAATTACTACATATAACTTCAATGTGGACTTTCTTCAAAGTAAATTAAGCATTTATCATCATACTTTATACCATAAATGTCATATTCATTGCTACAAAGACTTGGTGATTTTACAATTAAAAAACAATAAGATAATAATTACACTCCATTCAATTGACATTGTACATAAAACTGTTAGAACTTACACAACCAGCATTCTTATTTTCACTTGATGCTGTATAATCAACACCCCCTACAGAAAATGTTACACTTCCATCATTTAAAGTGGATGCGAAATTAGTCAATGCATTTTGGATTGTAGTTAGTGTATCAGATGCTGCAACCAAATCCACAGTTATACTGCCTATAAATAAATAAACGAAGTGGTAAGTATAACATGTGATCGGTTTGCAAACAAATCTTAAACAATTCCATGAACTAACAATGATCATGATATAATACTAATCGATCACTATTTAATATCCACGTGCAAATAGTTTAGTTTTTATCTGTGAAGTTGAAAATGTTATGATCAATGTAAGTAACTCATTATCGTAGTGTTGGTAATATTCAGGATACTTTAGAACCAAGGTTTCGGACTATTAGGTAGGGTAGGGTATGTCTGAAACATTGATATGTGCTTGACGATCATGTCTTAACTGTTTCATACATTTTTTTGGTGACATTTAAGATTTTTTTAAAATGAATATTTGTAATAACATATTGCTTAAATAGATTTGTTAACTGGATTCTAAGTTCAAGGGTTACTGACTATTGTTTTATAACTAAAGAATCACTAGCTCTTATTAAAAAAATCATTGTACTTAAACAATATGTTCATTGTAATCAAAAAACACCTAAATGATTATATGGGAAATTTGAAGGATAGTACACTAACAACTCTACTTTCATCCTACGTTTATGTCAATAGCTACCTTATGGTTGTTGTGATGGACTTATGATGAAGTTTCGTACTCTGAGCTAAATGTTTTGGTTGTGGAGTTTTCATTTTTCTCCTGAAAAACATCATCAACACAAACTTCAGATAGAAGTGAAGTATCCTCGTAGCTTGTTCTCTTGACCTCGATGTTGATTGATTGTTACTGACCTGTCGTTATCCACAGGTTTAACAATGATTCACTCATGATTTCAATGTAAAAAAGATCTTGACAAAACCATTATACAAAAACCAAAAATGAACTCACTAGGAATACCTTCGTAAGGAAATTTTCGGAGTTCTAGTGAGAAGACGTAAACAGTGGAGTTCACCTCTGTCGAGTGTAAGCAACAACTACCAAAAACAGTAGGTGAAGTTGCGCAATACCTTGAACTGATTAAAGTTAAACATTAACTCCGTTGGATGCCGCAAACTCAGTGGTCCAGAGGTTAAACGTTCTCACGCTAGACCGAAGATTCTGGGTTCGATTCCTGCGAGTAGCTGGAATCGTGCATGCTTACTGCTGATGAGTCCCATACCAGTGGTTCCAGGTTTCTAATGGTGGTCTCAAAATGATTCGGTCATGTTTTCAATGTGTACGATCTTTTGCATTAGATCAATAAGAGTTTCTGCAGTATAGTGGAGTAGAAGTGACTTTATGTGAATGCGAAGTCATGTGAGATTCTAACTAAGTTTAATACCATATATACTGACATTGTACACCTAAAATAGTTGGAATTTTTTCTTAATTTATTCAAAAATCAATACTGGGACAAGCCATGTTATTTTCGATACACAGGATGACATATACATATCTTAATTATAGTTGAATACATCATTTTGTTAACACATTATCAAATAAACTTGCAAAGAACTTTAACCAAAACGTTGTGCATATCTAAGTTTCATTGTTATCTGGTAAATGCTTTTAAATTTAATGTATATATATATATATATATATATATATATATATATATATATATCGCAATGGATTAGTGGGAAGTATAACAGCTAGATGATTATTTCAAGAATTCTCTAGGTATCACAGTATAACATAGTAATTCACTATTCATATAACAAGCATAAAATCTGATCATAAAAATTCAACACATTATTCAACTCACCTTGACTAAAAGTAATATTTTCAAATACTACATTAGGATAACGTGTCAATAGTTCTGATTCTAAAGCAGCTTTAAATTCGTCAACATGTTGTAACATAGTTGCATAATTACCAGTCACTTTGAATCGAAATGGTTTTCTGACATTTCTAACTGGTTCAGTATAATTTTCTGGATTAACTTGAATTCGAATTTTTGTTAAAGGCAAATCATATTGTGATTGTTTTGTTGTACTGTCATTTGAATAGGCATTAGCACTAATACAATAAGTGTATACCCAAGAGGTTTGAAATCCGTTAATGGTCCAAGTGAAATTATTACTTGTTTTTGTTGAATCATAGACTAATGAAGCTGAAGAATTTGTTGGAGTAGTTTTTGGTTTTCTACTATTTGTGCAAATATCACCAGTGAATTTCCATATTAAATTCTAAAAAAATAGGAATTCACTAATGGAAGAGGTTTGTGGATGGAATTGAGTTTTTAAAGTGTCTATTACAAATTGACTTTGATAAACCAGACGTTTATTGTAGTATGCAACCTCATTAACAATACTTACTTACTTACTTACGCATGTTACCCCCAATGGAGCATAGGCCGCCCACCAGTTTTCTCCAACCAACTCTGTCTTGAGTCTTCCTCTTTTCCTTTTGCCTTGAGAGTTACATGTGAGGGCTTGTCTTGTGACGCAGTTAGGTGCTTTTCGTATTGTGTGTCCGGTCCACTTCCACCACTTCTTCCTGATCTCCTCCTCCGCTGCAATCTAGTTTGTTCTCTCCCACAGTACGTTCTTCTTGGTGGTGTCTGGCCAACGAATACGAAGTAATTTGCGTAGATAACTGTCAATAAACACTTGTATCTTCTGGATGATGCCTTTCGTAGTTCTCCATGTTTCCGCTCCATACAGTAGGACTGTCTTCACATTTGTATTGAAAATCCTGATTTTGGTTTTGTTTGAAAGTTGTTTGGAGTTCCAGATATTTTTCAACTGTAGAAATGCAGCCCTCATTAACAATGCTCACCAATAACCTAACTAGGGATCGAACTTAGGATCCTGGTCCGAGCACAGCCTTGAGATATCAGAGGGTTCATATTTCAAAGCGCTCGTACCGAGATCTAAAGGTCTTCAGTTTTACCCTTGGCAAGGTAACGTATGTGCATTGTTAAAGCGTCCGACACTAGAACGAAATCGTTAGCCACTGTCAACAAACTTTTAATAGTTGAAATTTATTGGAAAATTAAACCCCCCCCCCTTATGTGTACCGAAACAATTTGTCATAACCTTGAATGTACCCTCGCATTCTTTAAGCCTAGAGTAATGTGACGATTTTCCTACCCCTTCTTATTCTTTTTACATTACGTTAATTTTCTCTCTCCTTTATTTACAATTATCACCTTATGTGTATTTCAACTTTTATTTAATTGACCTTTGATTATTCTTCATATAAAATGCCTTGACAAGTAAATATGTGTGACCAGATTGTTCGAAATGTATAGCGCAAATACATCACACCTTTCAGATCAATTACGTCTTCTCACGGTTCTATCAAAATTTTAATAGTTGACTATCCAAAATCATTTAGTGAAATACACTATAGGCGAAACCGCAAGTTTAAATCTTTAGCAAACTTATTGAAAAAAAATGGACAAGCTTTTTGGTTATTACTCTGAACCAGTATTTGTACAGCGTCAAAATATTTCTCGACTTCAGAATCTCTGCATTTAAATCTTGATGATAAACCAATAAAGATCCCGTTAGAACTAACAAATAAGAAGTACCATCAGGTTGAGTAGAAAATTTCATTTACATACTTGTTTGACTGACAATTTTCTTCGTTAGGTAAGTAATTTTGTATGTAAATATATCAGTTAGTCTTCTAGTGCGTCTCTATTAGTCGAACTACTTCATACATTCTGGTAATTGTATTGATCAGCTGTGAATTTATATGGCATTATGGATTAGCACTGCTAACAAAGTGCCTTAACCTAGAACGGAATATGTGTAGTTCGAATTTCTTAACCTAGTAAATACTCTTGAGAATTTCTAAAGTTTCGCAATAATAACAACACGAATTTTTTATTCCTAACTACATGACTCATGTTACTTATATGATTTATGGCTGACCATAACCAAATTCATATTTTATAACTTACTCGCCAATTAATCTTTTCCAGTGGAACACCAGTTTGTTTGTCGATAATATTCATCAGAAGGGAAATACTTTGATTAACAGATGATTTGATAGGTGAATCATCGGAATTAGATGTGACTGGACGAATACGTAAACGTAACTGTCTGCTTGTAACAGGAAAACTTACAGATGTATTCAATCTAGTCGATTCATTCGGTGAGGTTACCTGTAAAAGCAAAAATGAAAATCAAATAGCATAAAGAAATTATCAAAACACAAAATTGAGTTGACATACTTCAGAAATGGATTCTTTCAGTTTAATGACTCTAAGTAAATAAGACTACTAGTTGGAGTGAATTCCTAATTAGTGATTACTTCACGAAAATAATTTAACATTATTATCACAGTTCTTGCAGTATAGTTGAAACGAAACTGAATAAGTTAATTCCTAAGTAATTCAAGTCAATGATAAATTGGTGAAACTAGTAAAATCTTTTTCCATAAGAAAACCAAGGATGTAAACCTTTAAATTCTATGTAAAGTTGTGACTGAGGTTGCTGAAGACTGTGGATTGATCGCAGTTAGGCATTAACACCGTCAGATGTCAGCACACTGGTGGAGAGAGGTTAAACATTCTCATGTAGCGAGAGTCGTGGATGAGCACTGCTGTCGAGTCCCGAAAAAAGGACCAAGCGGCCGTTCAGTGCTTCTAGGTTTCCAATAGCGTTCTTACATTGATCGATTCATGATTTCAAAAACCACAAACAGGATTGTTTTTCATTTAGAACGAACGTAAACAGTCAGCTGAATTGGCATGAATATGAAAGTGTTAAGAAGAAGAAGAATCCCAATCACATATTCCGTGTTTATACGCCATTTATATAAACAAAATTGAAAAGAAAAAAAACAATGTCTAGAATTTACCGAAACAAAGAGATCAGCTTGACCAGGTTCCGAAAAGATCAGATTGGAAACTAGTGCTTTGCCTGTTGCAGGATCTGGGAAATTTGTTTTTGACACTTTCACTGGTGACACTGCATTCGGCTGTAATATTTCATATGACCAAATACTTGAGTTTGAACCTAATGGTTTGACAATATTTCCCTGAAACCATGTTATTAACAAAATTATTATTATTATTCATATAAATTGATATGCGATGAAATAGTAATGAAGTAATCAGTTTGTAAAATTTATATATATATATATATATATATATATATATATATATATATATATATATATATATATTGCTTAATTTGCAAACTTTCGTTTCATAAGATGTTCGGTAGTTATAGTTCCACTATTTTTAAATGATCGTGGATGCCGGCCCAGTGGTCCGATGGTTAGGAGTTCGCGCACAATACCGAAGATCCCGGGTTCGAGATGCGAGAGTTGTGGATGCGCACTGCTGATGAGTCCTATACCAGGACAAAATGGCCGTCCAGTGCTTGCAGGTTTCTAATGGTGGTCTAACAATGATCGATCGGTGATTTCAAATGTCTAAATTATTCGTCACTCAATCGATCCTTTGTTATTTCAACTTAATTAAAGATAAACATTGATGTTTAGATTTGTCATGTAATGTAGTATGGAAATGCAAACAAACAAATCGATGCATGCCCTTGAAAACTATGAAAGATGGTTGTCTGCTTAAAATGTTTTTACTTCTGACTGAATACTTCTTGATGAGATGGAAAGTTTGTGTTGTGGACCAATAAGCTTTAAAAATTATCTCGATCCCAGCTCAAGTTGTCGGTCAAAGTATGTCACTAGTCAAAGCTAACATCATCGATCTATGGGCAAAATGTATACTAGGAATAGAAAAATGGCATCTTGTTTGAGTTAAATGAACATATAAGAAGACTCAAGGATATGATGAAAATGATATTTTTTTAAAATTATTTCGTCACTGCTAAATTTATTCTTTTTTAAATTACTTATGAAATTGTGATCGAATTATACTTCTTGCTGATTCATAGTATTTGTGAATTTTATTTTTTCACGCTAAGTGGTAATGAACATTTCTTTCTGTTTGTTGCTTTATCGAGATTAATCGATGTCTAGAAACATTATGCTTCCAAGTTAGTCGTTTCTAAGTACTGCATCCCTGGAATGCGAATCTGATCTGTAAGCAACTTCTGTACTGAATCAATTCTATTTTCTTATCTTTCTCCTTAACATTTAAAATTATTCTGTTGAACGCTGTACAAAAACGATTTTATGAGTGAATTATTAGCACGTCAATGCTCAATCTTTATGGAATAGGTATCGATTATGTCTTGTCACTTGATCACTCAAAAAAAACCTAACCTAACTCAAACTAGCGATTGATCAGTAGACTGAAAAAACCAAAATTTCACCAGTCACTATGGCGTTTAATTAATCATATCTTTGAAACCGGCTCAATTGTTAATCTGACACCCGTACTCAGAAATAACAATACAATCTCAATAATGAATACAGTTTGTGAAATACTCAAAAAGTGTCGACCAGTTTCAAGACGTATTAGAATTCAAGACTAAATTGTATTTGAAGAACAAAACGGTAGTTATTTTTACTAATTTTAAATCTATTTACGATATTTGTGCTGAAAATTATTCACTTCACATTAAGTCAATAGCGTGGACAAAAATCTTACCGAAGAGTCTAAGGTGCTGATCTCTGCCATGAACGGAACTCCTTCAACAACTGAAGTATATCCTGTAGGTACAAGAATTTTGACTTGACTCTTTACTGGTATTTGAATAACTTCGGGATTTGCTTGTACATTTGTTGGATCTGTTGCTTGAGCAGCCCATAATTCAGTACCAGGTAACGGAGTAGGTTTTTGAACTGCTACATTGACAACTGTTGCATTTATAACTAGTAAAAAAATATAATATTTTTATGTTGATTTTTAAAGTAATCACCGTGATTTATGAATTCATATTTCGGAAGTTTTTAACAAAATGTATGTGTTATGCTCGTCAATTGATATGCTTGAAACTAGTTCACAATAGTCGGTAAATGGGAAAGATGATAAATGATCCAGTTACACGAGCTTCCCGATGCCCCACTAAGTAGAGAAAGAAGTCATGACAAGACGTACAAGTGTCTTATACAAGCATCCAGAAAATCGAGGTTTTCAAGCACACAAGTCAGGTTTATTTAAACATGATAGAAACTTCCTTGGGAGAGCCACAAAATAGCCTGCTAAAATAATCTATCAACCAGTAACTGTCAAGGATTGTCTGGGTGGGAAATGTGATCTCAAGGTCAACAAATTATAACACTCTAATTTCAATGTGGTTGGATGTTTCAGTAGAATACGTTCAAAATACGCAGCATGAAAGTAACACTTCTTGTTTACTGGTGCAAACAGAATCCCTTTCAGCCATGCCAAAATAAGCCAACAGTGTGAGATTAGAAACTAATCTAGTTAAGCTCTTTCACCACAATCTAAAACCAAATTTAGTGGGCAATTATATTTAGCGAAATTAAAAATCCATTATTTATACCGTGGACGTAACTTCAAGACTTATAAGAAGACTTGAAATAATATGTTGTTTCCACATCCATTCATTCAGAATTTCACGCACAACAGAAGCCTAAACCTTCACTTAATTTAAAATTTTAACAAATGACCAAACACATCTGTCTTTAATCACTAACAAATCGCAGTTTATTTATACTGGTTGAACATACTGTAACGGTGTTAACTTAAACAGCCTATCATGCTTGTTCAATCCAAAGATAGTTTTCGCTGTAGATTTATATCAGTTGGAAAATCACCGAAATTGAAGTAGTAAAACACAGCTCTTATTTCTTAGTTTGAGATTTCTCAAAAGTACAAGCCAACAATAATAGAGAATTCAAAGCTAGAACAAATGCGTGTATAATCAGTAAATAATAACTAAAATAAATGAATTCAAAGTTCTCAAAGAAAATCTTATTTACCTGTTTCCAATAATCCTGTTTGTACTAATGTTACAACGTTGGAAGATATTTCCTCAACTTTTGTCATGCCAGAGGTGACGTTCGGTGTATCTGCTGAAGATAAATTTTGACTAGGTGGTGTTGATATTTCTAATTCCACAAATACACCAGATACAGACCGACGTCGCCGACGTCCTGAAGCTGCACTGGACTCAGATACCACCTTGACTATGCGTATATTCTTCGCTGGTATCTGAAAAAATAGAATGTGATTGCGTTCGAACATGTATAAATGGAAGTTATGTTAGAAACATTTTTTATATTTATCTGAATCATAAATTTAATATTAAGACAGGCCTTGAAGATAAATAAGTTTAAGTTAGTGTGTTTATTGAATGAAAAAATCTGCTGACATGTTTACAGTCATGAGAGATAATCAATCAATCATAATCTACCATCTTAACAGAACAGATACATAAATATTACTTACTAAGGTGCTGATAGTGTTACAACTTAACATTCGCAGAACAAAAACGCTTTGAATAGAAAACACATCTTTGCAAATTACTAAGTGTAATGCGTACTTAAGTCAGTTGTGAATTAGGGATTATATTGAGTTATAACTTAAGACATTACATTTTCACTCTTGTTATACATGAATAAATGTATAGGATCATGTATAAGGGAGGTTCCTTTCTAGAAAAATAATCAGTACTGGATAGGTTCCAACAAAAATGCATATTATCATTAAATTTCGCACTATATATCAGCGCAAAAATGAAAGTAATTAACATGCTAAGAAGCATGGCTGAAGAATAAACCTTCGCCACAATCGAAACTTGAACGTAAGAAATAGTCTCCATATGGAATGAATGATGTATAAGTATAGATTGATGATGCAGAATAGCCTTGACTATTTCGCGACTTATTATCTAGATTGATTGATTTATTCTGATAATTGTACCCCAAAATATTCTTGACCAGACTGTCGTACTGACACAATCTGCTAAAGTATGAATTGTATTTTCTAATATTCGCTTGAATTCACCGTGTAACTTGTGATTACATCTCATAAATATGGGTCAGCCAAAGAGTACACCAATCAGTCAAAATACGCATTACATACAATGTGATCATGTATTATTTCTCACATATTGAATAAGCCTAGGATTTATGTGAAGATAAAGGTTTAATGTAAATTAACTATTATGAAAAATTTTCTAATGATAAGGAAGTGAAATTAGCAGATTTAACAAAATTGATCTTGCGCGCAAACGCACCGCTGATGAGGAGTCTCATACCAGGACGAAACAGTCGTCCAGTGCTTCCAGGTTTCTAATGGTGGCCTAACATTGATCGATGCATGATATCAAAAAGTGACTGCAATCACATATTCATGCCTCATCTTATTGAGTTGAGTAACTCGTCTTCTCCACTTTGTTTCATTTTATTTCTGCTCTTTGTATTCTCATTTCTCTCTGCGTGAATGATTGCATGAAATAAAATCATCCAACTGAATCCGTATTCGGCTTCTTATTACCACCGTCGCACAAACGGGGTCCGGTTAAGTAATGATATACGGAAATCGAAAGGAAGATTTATTTCGTAGAATATGCTTGGTAAACCGAAAACCCCACTGCACATGCACATCGCTGCTTTTTAGGCAACACAAGGATTTTCACTCTCACCAACAGTAATCACCCCTGCCGCAGTCGGGAACATACATGTTGTCCAGTTTGGTCTGCAAGCAGGTCGGACGTCCAAAAAGCACGCACGCGAACAGTGGCCCACTACCCAAAATCTCAAATCGGCATGGGCGACAAGGCGGGCTTACCCAGCTAGACCTTGCACCCTGAACGGATTACCAAGCCACTCAGCAGTGCATTAACCAGCAGCCATTCCAACCGTCTGGCCTCCAACTGCCTTGCGCTGTTACAATCGACCGTAGCCCTCAGACACCGCATGAAGCTAAAGATTGAGTTTGTCCCACAATGTCAGCCGGAATGTACACATTCTCGGCTCTCTGAGCTAAGATCATGTGTAGTTTCATAGAATACCCAATTGTTCGTCCAAATTGGAGTCCGATCTTGACCCATTAAATAATCACAATAAACTGGCACATTTTTAGTCAATAATAATTGCACTTACTCCTAAATAGTTAGCCAAATTGTTGACAACTTCTGATCCATAAAATTGATCAATAGTCATTGCAGGTAAACCAAATGATACTTTTACTAACTGAGATAATTTAACTGTGATAATATCTTCACCTTTTATAATAACATATAACATTTGAGATGAATCATCGAAATAATTTGTACCAACTGGATCAGTCAATACATTTGGCATAAATTCATCCAATGTTTTAGGTTCTTGTAGTACAGTTTGACCCTAAAATAGAATACAATAATCAAGTGACAAGTTGAACTATTTTTGAATGTAACATTTTTGGTCTGTGGACATTGTAGATTAGAAAATCGCAACGTTAACTAAAATCACTGCCGTTCAATAAAAACAAAAAAAACTACCCTGATTCATTTTGAAAATGAAATATTTATCCTGACTTTACTAATTTCTTGAAATTTGACAAGTTAAATTAAGCAGTCTATGAATCATAGCGTACTTTGATGCAGCAAAGGTGAGACATTTCTTCTGCATACTTAATGATGAGTCTAGTAGGCTAGAACTGGTTCAACACTACATACAGTCAGTTATGTTATTCGTCCGTGCATCAAATGTCTTCTCCTTATTTCTCTACTGCTGGATATTCTAATTATCCATTCTGAAAGAGCGCATTATCCCGTTTTGTTTACAAATTGTTGGGGATGTTAGATCCCCAGAACTCGCTTGATAAATATCTTTATTTTGGATTTATTTCATGGACCGATCAGTTGACCTTGAGGTCACATTTCCCACCAGAAAAATCCTTGGCTGTGATTGGTTACTGTGTCATTCTAGTGTGTTATTTTTGTGACTCTCCCAAGGATGTCTCAATAGAGTATAAATAAACGCGATTTGAGTGCTTGGATTCATTGTATGCTGGCTGGGTGTTTTTAGAATACAATATCTACACTATATCAAGACTTCTTGCTGGTACAATTGGGTCGTGGGATCACAGTAGCCGACCTGGACTCTGGTTCATTGCTTTGTTCTCGCAATTCGACTAAGATGAACTCGTACTAGTTTAAGCATAACTAGAGACAAGCGTAACACAAATAGACGTTTTTTTTATCTAGTACCACTATCATGCAATAGTCATAATAATTCTTGGTGTATAATAAAAAGCATTCTAAAAACAGATTCAATAATACATGAGTAACTTTACAATTATAAGGTTTTGTCGATTACTATGACATGAATTTCTAAGTCAATGTAACAATCAAGGAAGTCAATATTCTAGGCAGAATAAAAATACGCAGACAAAATATGTAAGTTTATAATGCCTTTTCCCATGATCTTACTATTTTTTTTCCTAGTGATGACTGCCTATAATTCAGGAGTGATTATAACTTTGCTGAATGACAAAAGTGCCACAACGATTACTATTATTTATTAAAAACATTACGCGGTTGTGAAGATTGTTAAGTTACACATTTGAAATCATGAATCGATCGTAGTTAGACCACCATTAGAAACCTGGAAGCACTAGACGGCCGTTTCGTCCGGACGAATGTATAACTTAACAATCTTCATAACCCCATAATACAATTAGCTGTGCTCACTAGTGACTAGCTCCCTGAGTAATCTTCTACGAGTTCTAGTGAGAAATTGTAACAGGTGGATTTCAACTTTTCCGGGTTTAGACAGTAACTACCGAAGACAGTGTATGAGGTGGATATATTACAGACACATATAAATTAAAAAATCATTGTATCCTGTTACCTGAAATATAAAAACTCGTACTGCTGTATTCAATCTACTAGAGAAGTAATATTTGTCTATTCAATACTAACTAAGATTACTTTTGGCTGTTGAAACGTGCCGCATACAGATCATTTATTTTTGAAAGAAAAGTCAACATTATACACTTAATGTACCGCATCAAATGTTATTGTAGGAGTTCAATTTTAACATCTAATTTATGACACTTCCGTTTTGTTGAACATAGTTTTTTAAATGATAGAAAACAGCTGATGATTGAGATACACAAAATGGACGTCAATGAACCACTAAATACTGTGTCAGATAGATATGAAAATTGTTGTTGAAGATTGTTTTTGATTACTGAGATCATGAATTAATCAGTGGAGTTCAACCCTGTCGGATATAGGCAGTAACTACCGAAGACAAATGGGCGAAGTCTCTCAAAATCCCTAAATTGATCACAGTTAGACATTAACACCGCTGAGTGCTGCCAGCTCAGTAGTCTGGAGGTTAAATGTTCGCACGCAACACCGAAGGTCTTAAGTTCGAATCCTGAAAGGAGTGAAAGAAGTCGTGGATACGCACTGCTGATGAGTCCCATACCAGGACGAAATGGTCGTCTAGTGCGTGTAGGTTTCTAATGGTGGCCTAACAATGATCCATTCAGTAAGATATAAAAAAAAATCATTTCACAAAACATACAACCGCTTACCAAATTATTTGTTACAGCATTTTTTGCTTTCACATATACTCCATTCACATAAATATCAAGTCGACCAGCAGTGAAATAATCAATGCCAAGACGTACAGCATAATCAGGTTCAGCTTGTGGTAAACGTAGACGTAATTCTTGCGGTGGTGTACTAGTCATATACAAGACAAAATTTTTTTGACGTGCAACAACCGCCATAAATGTACTCATTCGTTTTAAACATGCATAACTTGAACATACACCATGATCACTTGGACCATTGATTAAATCTATGTAATTTGACTAAAAGAAAAATTCGGAATAATAATAATAATAACTGAAAGCATGAAACTAGCACCAAACTAATCATAGTAATTAAGAAAGTATTATTTGATATTTTGTTTAGAATTCAAAAAGCAGTTACTTTCTATTAGTCTATAGATATTATACATAGAAAGTTGATTTGACAGTGAATAATCAATAACTTTCTCTCAGAATCATAGGTAAAAGATCTTAATTTTCATGATAATATTAATAATGATAAGTATCGTAAAAATAATTAATGATCACTGATATTTATATCTAGTGAGATATTACCGTTGAAATTATGACAGAAACCTATTCTTAGATGGATACAAATGAACCTGGGAAGGGAAGAGAGACGCGTAAAATGGAATAAATCGTCTTAAATTATGTGTACAACGCATAGGAAACCATTAAATTTAGTTATACCGTTGATAGAATGAATTTTCGAAGAACTCATGGATATTCACTAGTATAATTTTTGATTACAACCATATCAAACATGTTAACGTATTCTAAGACTTTTTTACGAGTTTATTTGTTCAAGAAGTTGCATCGTTGTTTGCAGATTTTGAAAATGACACTATGATCTATGGTAGTCTTAACAGAAATCCGAATGTGAATAGTACTGTTGTGTAACTAATCAAAAGCTTTTTATGAGAGCGATAGTTTAAATAAAAGCATTCTTCACTGTGGGAATGGATCGAATTTTAAGCTAGGCAACTATCGACAATCAGGAAATATAAAGCATTCAAAGTTAGCTCAGAAGTTTTGATGTGAAGCTCTCAAAACTTGAAGATCTGTTTGATCTCCAGTGGTGGCTTCGGGAGTGTAAAGCTGTGAAGAGTTCCACACTAAAAACAAACATTTGTACAGTGCTTTCTGGTTTTCAATGGTCGATAAACTAGTGTCTGTTCTTTATCTAACTAGAATCCAACATTTTTCAACAAACTAACATTTTGTAAAGTATTTGTGTCTGACATATTTCTTTTGTGGAATTTTTAGTATTAGAAACTATTAGACAAGGATTGTCATACACAAACATCCTATAACCCAAAAACATCTAGTGTGCATTAATGCATCAAGCCCACAGGGCTTGTCCCACCTTTGGACAACTTAAATGATCCATTGTTCTCGAGCTGTTCACATGTCCGTCAACCTTGTTAGTTGTTCACTTAACTCTTACTTCACTCATTGTATGTCTAGCTTATTTCTGTCTGACTATAAATAACTGGTCATGCTTCGTCATACTGAGTCACCTCACTCGTCTTCTGCTATTCTCTTTCCCGCTCTATGTTCTGATGTTTCTTCACGTTAACAATAGTTGTATGAAATAAACTCATCCCATTCAATCCGTATATAGTTTCTTATCACTGCTGTCGTAAAAGCGATGTTCGCTTAAGAATAATATACAGCAATCAGATGGGAGATTTATTTTACAGCATCTTCAATCACTCGTTCAAATTGGAATCAGATCCCAGACTACTAAAATCTATTCATCTGCTGATCTTATTTACATCCAAGTTGATTCTCATTATCATATATATGTGTGTGACTATTCACAATGTTGTTACATCAACCTGTTAGACTGAAATTTGAATAATATATATAATAAAAATAAATTGTAACATACAGATAAACCATCAGTGGCAAATGCAATCGGTGAAAGTCTACGCTCCAATGCATCTGGATCCATTGATTCAATCAATAATATTTTATGATCTAACGCATTGCTACATTTATATGCTTGCATTTTAGGCGTATAAATACAAGAACTATCACGAATTATACCTGAAAAGTAAAATCAAGAAATTGATATTCATAATAGTGGCATAGAAATTAACAAAAATTATTTTAAAGGTCATACATACATTTTAATGGTCATATATATTTAACTATCAGATTTCTATAGCTGATGTGAAAAAAATAATTAGTTGTACGGATTTCTCAGATGATTAAGAATTCACTTACGAGACCGATGGTTCCGGGTCCCATTCCCGCGAGCAAGGTTAGTGCGTACTCACTACTGACGAGCCCCATATTAGGACGAAGCGGCCGTCCAGTGCTCTCAGGTTTCTAATGGTGATCTAACATTGATTGATTCATGATTTCAAGGATTACACAAACATTATTGATTGTATTTACATCTGTTGTACCCCTTAAAGATTGTACAAAGTTTACTTATACACGTCTGTTTATGAGATAAAACTAATTCGTCATGTAACTTATGAACCAGTGTGTCAATCTGATCAAATGTTTTTAATTTTGTTTTTTCAGAATAAACCATTTTAAACCACAACAAGACGTTTCTTTAAAATTTATTCAGTTATTACTTAAACTACAAAATAATGAGAATACTGTCAGTAAACTAAATCTTTAGTAACGTACGCTTATCATCATTTTATTTTACTGTAGAAAACCAATTTATTCACATGTTTGTCAAAACTATACTTTATCGATTACGTTTAGGAAACTAATCCGATTCGTTGCAGAATCTATTGAGCCCGAGTACACGATTCGGTTATTCATATCTAGTTCCAAATGTGCCTATTAAACAATTTAAACTTAGTATGATTCAAGGCATAGTGAAGGGTGAGTTTATGTAACAAAAAATTATAAGCTTAACCGTCGAAACTTTAATTACTGACATTAACATGGAAGCACTATAATTCATGTGCCTAACAATCAGACGGAGGACGCTATCTTTTCAATTCACGCACAAAATCCATTCTTCCATTTTGCTACAAAACATTATTTAAGTACAGATGACATCAGTTCGCAATTTTAAACCTTAACAGTCTGAATCCTGGCTATTAACCTTAACTTCATATCCTATTACAATACCTAATTCTTAAGCCTAACATTTCGCCGTCAAAGCTGTTTATTCATCAATTTTTATTGAAGAAAATATTAAATCTTAAACACTAATTAGTTTAAACATAATTTTTAACACAATTCGTCAATTATTTTTCTAAATAACAAAAGTTCATAGTTTAAAACTTCTCTTCAGTGACCTAACTATGATTGAAACCTCATACGTTTTCCTGTAAATACGAACTCTGTAAACCGACAAGTTAAAACCCCCTGATTTATATTTTCAACTACAATTACTTTGGGATACAGAGTGTTCCTTCAGCTATGCCATTTCAATTTATTAGTTTTTTTCCCTAAAATTGAAATCTTTGTCCTCTTAATTGATTCATTATGCTTTACTGTTTTTATATTACGAGGCTGTGAAGATTGTTAAGTTACACATTTTTGAAACCATGAATCGATCAGTGTTAGACTACAATTAGTAACCTGGAAGCACTAGACGGCCGTTTCGTCCTGGCATGGGACTCCTCAGCAGTGCGCATCCACGACTCCTGCACCCCGCAGTATTCAAACTCAGGACCTTCGGTATTGTAGGCGAAAGTCTAACCATCGGACCACTGAACCGGTATCTAACGGTGTTAATGTCTAACTTGATCAATTCACGGAGTTGCGCAACCTCATACACAGTCTTCGGTAGTTACTGTCTACACCCGAACAGGTTGAACTTCACTGGTCACATCTTTCCACTGGAACTCGGAGAAGATTCCTCACGAATCTAGTCACTAGTGAGCACAGGTAATTTGCATTTTTTTGAAAAATGTGTAACTTGACAATCTTCACAACCCTGTTATGCAAATTACCTGTGCTCACTAGTGACGACTAGCTTCGTGAGGAATCTTCTCCGAGTTCTAGTGGGAAGACGTGACCAGTGAAGTTCAACCTGTTCGGGTGTAGACAGTAACTACCGAAGACTGTGTATGAGGTTGCGCAACTGCGTGAATTGATCAAGTTTAACTGTTTTTAAACAACATAAAAACAATGAATGTAATCACAAGATACCACCTACCTTTGTTAGGCCATTGTATTGCAGGATTAATCGACGTTCCATCAGCTTTAGTCAACATTCTTGACGGTATACGACTGTCACTAACACCATATTTAGGATTTAAATTATACTGCCATTCAGACTGCGGTACTATAACACTAGGTTGACCAAATAATCCACCATCTTTATCAATAACAAGAACTTTTTTCAATCCATCACATTCCATATCATTGCATTTATCAAATCTGACATTACTTAATATGTAAAATTAAAACAATCAGTGAGAGAAAATAAAAACAATAAGATTTTATGATTAAAACCTTGTTAAAATAAAATGAAAAGAAAAAAACATTGAACACAATTTATTTGAAAGAACATATAAACTTTAAAATTGTATTTTCAAAAGTAGCCGGGAAATTCGAATAGATTAACGCGAATAAAGTGTACATCTCAATCAGTTTCATGTTATAATGTCGAAGTAGTCAGTATTAATTTTATAAAAAAAGACATTATTTAGTACAATGTTTCAATTTAATATAAGTTAATATAATTCACTGTTTACATTCGCATTTCCATAAATATTATGTATGACTTTTTAAGTTGATCAACTCAAGTTAATGTTATTCGAGCATAATCCATTTGTAACCTACACTAACTCTTCAAAAATGAATATCACGCAATTGTTTTAATTTATTAAAATATAATAATACAAAGTCATAACTAGTCTAAATGTACCATTCATAATTCATACCTCAAAAGATGGGGCAAAGCTAAGAAAAAAATGCAATTTGTAATCATAACTGTGAGACAGCATATTCCTTTTCAACAGCCCAAAATAAGTAAATACATTCTATTTCTCGTTACTAAAAGAATATAATTTCCAAGTTATCGGAGTGTAGTATTGAGTACAACTAGTACACCAGTTGTCAAACTTCTCTTTTCATTCCGTCTAAAAAAACACTAAGCGTGCTTTTGAAGACTGCCAGATTTCTAGCGAGCAATTTAATGCTTTTATTCTGACCTGACCTCTTGGGGACGTTAGATCACCAGAACTCGCTAGATAAAGGTCCTAATTTTGGATTTTATTCATGAGCTGATCAGCTGACCTTCAGATTACATTTCACGCCAGAAAAATCCCTGACTGTGATTGGTTGATTTGTTATTTTAGTACGCTATTTTTGTGGTTCTCCCAAAGGATGCATCTATGGTGTATAAATAAACTCGATTTGTTTACTTGAGAACATTATATTTTCTGGGTGCCTGTAGAATACACTTTCTATGCCATATCAAGACTTCTCATACAGTCAGACAGGGCAATGGTTTAGGGTAGCCTATCGTGTCACAAGATCACTGTCTCGTTCTCGTTTATCGAACAAGGTGAACACGTAATAGTTTCAAGCATAGCAATTGACGAGCATAACATTGTCACTTTTAGACCAATTGAACCTAGATGCAAGCATAAACTGTGTATAATGCTGTGTGGATTTGAAATAAACAGATCAAACTAGTACTAATGAAATTATTCAATTTTCATCATTGCCACCTATATTTTCAAACTTTTATCAAATAAGAAGGAATTTTGAAGGAAAAAAACTGTTTGATAATGTTGCATCATTACCTCTAAGCCAATGGTGAGTGTGGAAAACAATCTCTTGATTATGGCGTACATATCAAAATGGGGTTACGAAATGGGATTAGAAGTAAAGTTTTATTATCTTCATTTCGAGCTGATACCAGCATGGATCTCAGAACTTTAAAATCTATATCCTAATCTTATATTCTACCATCATATAAAGCATTGATTCTTATTTGTCGTCTCTTTTTTGGTTTAAACGGAATAAGGTCTTTAGGTTAATGATACGATGCCTAGGAATTAGTTCTAACAACTAGATCTTAATCGAATAAAGAGGCCGTTCTTCTAGTTCGATCATCTGAATTAAATTTGCATGCGTATTTTGTGTTAATAGTTTGAATTCAAGAACTTTATTTATTATATGCGAAAACCGTGTGTGATCTTTTTTATGATTTCAGATTATTCAGCTGTGTAAGGCAGTGGTTTGGCATAAGTAACCATCACTCGGTCATTTCGTATCAATGCTTATTATCTTCTGATTAGCATTCTATTTGAGTGATTTCCACAATCAGAAGTTTATTCTTTATTCATTAAAAAGATTAGCCTTCATCAAAGTTACAAAAAAAACAGATTTATCACATGTATCACACCAATTGTTTAAACATAAGTGACTTTGAAAGAAGTAAAACGTTTATTTTAATTCAAGTTTATGGAATTTCTACAATTAAACAACATCTACAACTCCACATAAACATCAAACAACATCGAAGTTAAAATTTTCAGTAGAAATTTCAAGACAGTTCTACTGTATCGAGCGGAAAGTTGGAGAACTCCGAAAGCCATCATCTGGAAGACACAAGTGTTTACTGACAGTTGTCTACGCAAAATACTTCGGATCCGCTGGCCAGACACTATCAGTAACAACCTACTCTTGAAAAGAACAAACCAGATTCCGGCGGAGGAATAAAACATGAAGCACTGGAAGTGCATTGGACAGACACTTCGTAAGGCACTCAACAGCACTGAAAGACAAGCCCTCACTTGGAACCCTCAAGGTCAAAGGAAAACAGGAAGGCCAAGGAACACTTTTCACCGAGAAATGGGCAGAGACATGAGAAGAATGAACAAGAATTATATAGAAGTAGAAAGGAAGGCCCAAGACAGAGTAGTTTGGAGAATACTGGCCGGCGGCCTATGCTTCATTGGGCGGTAACATAAGTAAAACAGTAAATACAGTACAAATTAATTAAGTTTACAAATATATAAATCATTTTATTAAAAACAAAAATAACCACAAAATAATACCTCCAGCATTATCAACTAATTGCAAATTATTAGCTTGTATAGCAGAAGCTGTCCTCCAATACACTGGAAATTGGCTAACTGAATATATTTGAGCATTAGAAATGATAGTGCATGTGTACTGAGTATTCAATTGCATAATTCCAATTAAACATGAATGTATGATATTCTTCTCCCTATAATAATACAAATAAACAAACAGAACATTATTTTCTCAAAAATTATTCATTCAACTAAGGGATGTAGTTTACGATATGAATCCGACTCTACATCATAGTAGTGAATTTACAACTGTTCAATGATACATTGGACATGTAAGTGAAGTCAGAAAAAAAGAATTACAGTCAGAAGCGGAGGATAACTGTGATGACTGCACAAAGAGTATGAATCAGATTTCAATATCAATCCAATAACTAGGTAGTCTTACTTTAAATAAAAATAGTTCAATCGAAGTCATCAGACGTGAGTTTCATTGATAAAGTTATACTCTAAGGAAACCTTTTCAAATATTTCAGCTACCTACTTACTAACTGTACAAAAATTGTAACTGACCTTCTTGTTTCGTTTAGGTTGGAAATAACTCATTAAAAATGTTAACTGTACTGATTCATGAATTACAGAAGGCTGACTGAAGGCTTTAAAATGTTTACGGTTTTGAATACTGAAATACTTAAATGAAACACTCAAATTAATTGGCTTGAATTCCTATTTACCTAAACATCGGAAATCAAGTGTCATTTATTTCATCTTTGAGTGATGTGAAATTTGTGTGGTGAATTAGTCAAGAGGTTTTGTAGTGGAAGATAGATAGCCGAATGTGACTTTTATAAGCCTTGGTTATGGGATAGGTACAATTCGAATGCATCTTAAACAGAAATTTGTTGCCCTATTTATGTGCGTCTACATAAACATAAGTTAGCTATTAAACGAAACGATACAGATTCGTTGATATCAATGCACGTTAAAATGTTAAGTAGAAGTAGCCTAACACTCATCATGTATCAATCGTAAGATATGTCGAAATTGACTTCATAATCTTTCAGTCGATCAAAAAAATGTCAGAGTTCAGATCTTGAGCAAAAATAACCATAACAAAGGTACACGCAACGGCCACGGGGTTATGGATAAGAACCGACCAAATTTCAGGTTGATAGCTTTCTCCTCTTTTGAGTACTTTGTGATTATGTTTTATTCAAATGAGCAATAAAAGCGTCACAGTCGATCCATCTAGCTCAGAGACCATAACCCTACCATCTTCCTCGTGAGCAATAAATTTTCCACATAATCTTACTGTGAATTCTTCACAATATCTAAATTTACAACTTTATATTCAACGATTATGATAATTATTTTCATCAGAAAATGAAATTTTCAACCAACTTACCATATTGCTGTAGAACTTCCGTCACATGGATTACCTTGAGTGTAAACACAAAGACGTTCAGCACCTGCAATTGAATTCTCTTGTAGAATTAAATCACTCGCTTCTTTAATATCTAATGCAGCTTCAAACAAAATACCAAGATTTTCATTATCAGCTGTTGACTGTCCAGACCAAATTGTTTCCATGAGAAGATTATGTAATAATTTATGATTTCCATCGGTTAACCATATTGCTGTTCAACAAAAAAAATTGTAAAATGCAAACAATTATTTGTTATTCCTATTTAAAATAAGAGCTTAGTGAACTATGTATGGCGTTGAGTACCATTGTATTATGCATTAAAATAATTCTTCTAAAGCAATTCAAAATGATAGGAAAGGTTCACAGGTCAAGTGGATCATGTTGATGTTGTATTCTCTGGTGGCAGATAGCTTAGTTAAAGAATATTCATTGTTTTTCAAAACAACATCGACCGCTCCTAATTCATGATTTCCCTGCTGAAGTAAGCACCGTTGATGTTGTTCAGAGAGACAGTGAAATCTGCGCAATTTAACTAGATCACTTGAAGAATACAACTTCACTTAACCTCCCAACTTTTATGCATCTATACTGACATTGATTAGATGTGATGATACAGCTTGGTCTACTACGTAAAGTCACAAAAGTTGTGTTTACTTATTTACAAAATGATATGAGTGAAAACAGTGTGTTTCATTTATGCATGCAATTACAATGTAAGCTGACAGTGTATATATTTATGTCTTCTGGGAAATGTATCTCCAATTTCTTCGACTACATATTCCTAATGGGTATATGTTAGACATTACTACACCAAAACGATATGACTAACACTTTTCGGAGCATCTTTTACTAATCATGATTGATTTGCAAAAAAATAATTTATTTTCTTAAGCGAAGGAAAATAATTGAATATCTAGATAATGATGGTGTTGAAGTTGGTTTTACCAAAATAAACTAAGTTCATCAGTAAAAAATTATTCTCAACATACACCAAGATCCCGAATCGAAAACCATCAGGACTGACAAAAACCATATCACAAAGATTTCCAGACACTGAAGTGCGAAGTCAATAAATTGATTGGTTCAAATGAAAAATACAGTTCTTCAATGAACCACATATTTGCTGCCTTTTTTTTAATTTCACGTAGTGAACAGTGAAATTCAACCCTTTTCGGATGTGAAGCAGTGCTCGCCGAAGACAGGTCGAATGAGACCATGGATTGACTGAAATTGAACATTAGCATCGTTGAGTCCCAGCTTTATGATCAGGAGCTTAAGCACGTGAGACCGAAGGTCCTCGGTTCGATTTCCAACAGTGAGAGTCCCATACCAGTACGAAACGGCCGTACAGTGTTTCCAGGTTTCAAATAGTGATCTACCACTGATCGATTCATGGTTTTAATGAAACTGAACAATCTCCACAACCACCTGATGAAAATTTCAATATGATAAAGATTTTCACTAAACAATACTTCCTAGATATACCTACTAATAATATACTTTCAAGTATAACAATTAAACATACCAGAACCAAATGTTTGATAAAAGATATTATTTTCCACAAGCAATCCAGTAGTTGCAAATCCTCCTAAAGCTGTAGATAATGAATACTCGAATATACATGATTTAATATAGGATACATTATTCATATCACCAGCACTAATAAATGCCACAGGAAAACGTGCATCTGTCACTGTACTAAAATCTTTTTGACCCATTTGATAGAAATGCACACCTTAAATAAATAATAAAACAATAACAAATCTTTTAGGATTGATTAAGTGGTAACAATAGATTAGGCAAGATATGATATACATGTAACAAGATTAACTGTATTTAGAAAACTAGACTTGTCTAATTTTAAAAATTCTTAGTTGATTAAAAATAACTGGAATGTTTTAGATTAATAGTGAAACTGGAAAATTGAAATGTCATCACTATTCGGTCGATTAAGTTTTCATCGTCGATCGATTCATAATGTTAGTTATCTCCATAACTCTATAATGAAAAATCATAAAAATGTGCTCACTAGTGACTAGCTTCGTGAGGAAATTCTCTGAGTTCTAGTGAGAAGCCGTGACCAGTGGAGATCAACTCTGTCGCGTGTAAGTAGTTACCTACCGAAGATATTGGGTGGGGTTGCGCAGTACCTTGGATTGATATAAGTTAGACATTACCATCGCTGGATGCCGGCTGAGCGATCTAAAGTTTAATTTTTGGCTCGCGAGATCGAAGGTCTTCGGTTTGATTCCTGAGAACAGGGATCATCAGTGTGCACTGATGATGAGTATCATACTAGGTCTAATTGGCCGTCTAGTGTTTCCAGGTTTTCAACGGTGGTCTAACAATTATCGATTCATAAATTTCTATTATTTTTATTTAGTTTTAATAAAATATATACAGTTGTTCATAATCTTCGTACATACCTGATAATTTCAATTGCCCATATAAAATTCCACTATCGTATAAAGTTTGTGAAACTAGGATTCTCCCACCAAAATTTGTTTTGACGCTTTGATCATCCCCTTTTATAATAATATTTGATTTGATTAAACCAACTTCTGCACCTAATATAAATTTGTGATTACCGTAGGTTTGATTGTATGCTAGAATTAAATTTTTAAAAACATGAGTAATATTTTAAACAAGGAGATTATAGAAATTCAAACAAAGTAAAAAACAAAAATCAGGCAATATTCGACTGCCATTTCGAAACAATATGATCATTTTTAACTAGTTTCAATAAATATTTCCCAGAAGATTTCATGAGAAATTATATGCATTGGTTGTATGAACGTTCTAAAGGACATCCACGACTGAGATGGATTAGTTTTTATGGCATCTCTGTATTCTAGGCGGATCGCCTCGAAATTGCCATGAAGTTACGAGCAGAGATGGAATGTAAGGCATGTTTTTCCTAATCAGGACTCGTCAGCTCAGTATTTAAATGGATAAAGCTATGGTGTTTGGAGCTAATAGTACGAGTTTTGAGTCTCTATGTGAAAATCAGCTCTGAAATGCAAGTACATTCGGCAGATGAGTGTCAAATACGGAGGAACTTCGCATCCTAGTTTCCCCTGATTTCCACTATTCACCTCTGTATAGGGGAGGTTCATTGAGAAATTTTGGAACATGAAGTTAATCAAGTCTTGAATAAAAAAATAACTCTTCAACTGAATATACTGACTGCACGACTGCAAAAAAATTAATTAGAGCTCATACTTGGTTTCCAACAACTGCGTCTGGAGCCCTTCTAGAACCTCTACCTGTTTCAAGTTTTAAAAGACAAACATTGTTGACCGTGGAGTTGGCAACCTCATCCTTCAGAAAAACTAACTTTATTAACGCTAACCGTGAATTGGATTGTGATCAATAATACCAGTTCAAGACAAAATTATTCTCTTCAGATATATAGAACTAACCACAAACCCATCTTTTTAAACCACAATTATCATTTACAAATTATAAATAACAGGACAATTCATTTATGATGAAATAAGTACAGATATCAATTACTGGTTAACAAGAAGAACAGGGTTTTTTTTAGCAGACTATACAGTATGCCACACGTTTGTTACTTGGCCTAAATGAAAGCAGCATATTCAAGCAGTAATATTTTAATCTATTAAAAGACATCCCTCTTGAAGATTCATAAACAAAGTTTTGAACAAGTAAACTATCGTAATTTGTTACTATTATGTTTGTTGAAAAATGTGAGTGACGGCAATATGAGTGGAAATTTTCGGCAATTTCCTATAATCAAACTTCTTACCGATGCTTATTTTTAAACTAAAGATTAAAACTTTTTTTATTCGAAATTCATTCGTTCACTTAATCGTTACAAAGAAGTTCCAAAACTAAACTCATTTCCATTTGAAAATATTATAACGACATAAATTCATCCAAAATGAGAAAGGTTAATAGTGAGAATGTCATTACCATGACACAAGAAAACAATAGTTTCACTTTAGAAAAAAAACATAAACTGCTCAAGATGTGCATGAACATTTCCATCTTTGATATTTAGGACTATGATTGATAGTTTTCGTCGTCATCTAAGCATATAGAGATGATTGCTTTGATAAAGCCTTAAATTAAAAGTTCTTCATAAATTTGATGTGTGGATAGCGATGAAGACAAAGATAAGCTTTTCATCACATTCGAGATACATTGGTTGGATCCGCATACCTTCATTCCAGCATTGTTGTTCACATTTCAGCTCGAACCCACTACTTTCTTCGTAAAAAATCTAACCTTTACGCCCAGTGATGAGTTCAGAATACCACAACAAAATGAAGATTCACAAATTGAACTTATGATGGCCCATTATATTCATACAGCAATTTACTAAATGTTGAAGTAACTACAGATGTGTCTTATCAACAGTAAACTTTCAGGTGACTTCTTTGGATTAAAAGATTCACACAGTTTATTGTAGAGTATTGTAGAGGCTTACCAACATGTGTATATGTTAACTTGTCTACAAGTGTGATGACTGTACGATCTGACGAAACAGAAGCAATTTCACCGACTTCTGACTGTTTATAATTCATACTTGTTGTAGCAATAACTATCCGATCACCTGGTAACCAATCTGTCACTGGATCCGTAAGATATAATTGATTATCTCCGGCATTAGCTTTTAATTTAAGCGTAGTCCATCTAATAGTTTTAGGTACAGCATGCATACTCATTGCTCCATAAACACCTTTGTAAAATCACACAAAATATACAATGATATTACTGTATTATTTATTGAAACACTGATAAATAAATTATCAATCTATTAGGTAATTATGTCTTTTAATATGTGACATGTTTTAGTGTCTTGATTACGTATCTAAGATATTTTACAGCTTTCTCTGAAACTATTGTTGATAAATACATTATATAACAAATTATGGGACATTCAACGCAGGATTCATTGATAGTATGTTGATCTAATTTGTAGGCGAACATTATCAGTGTTAGGGAATTTTAAAATATTCTTCAACAAAGTCTCTGGAAGTTCAGAAAACGCCTTGAAGTGTTCTATTCAATCAGTGATGAGTAGAAGCTTTTCACTTCTTCACTTCACTACCATACTCAGTATAAATTTCATAATTTTCTGAAAAACCTCAGGTTAGTTATGACTTGATAAATACACTCGATTTTCTGTACTAACTCTCATTTCATACCTCTTCTTTATTGTTTCATTTGACGTGTAGAGGTAGGTTGAGGTTATAGGAAGTAGATAAGAAGTTTGTGATAAACGTTCAAGAAGCAGAATTATTCAGTCAATGGGCGTTTATGGAGAAATTACATTCCACTGTGTTTTTTATTTTTATAGTTTATTTTTCAAAGATTTAAAAGTCAGTTACCTCATCTCATATATCTTATTTGTTCATACATTAATCTTCTATTTCGAATATTCATTTACATAATCAAAACCGAGTTATTCATCTATCATAGAACTAAACATATACCTTTGAAAGTTTAATAAGGATATCGGATTATAGCTAGTCACACCCAGGTGCGTTTGTCTATTTACCTAAACTTGCGTGATAAAGTATGTCAAAAGAATGAAAAGAGTCGTATTAGTGAGAAATTTTGCAAATGTGCTCAGTAATCCGACAGTTAATTATTCGCAGACTACTTAGAGTTCCTTTAAGTATATATATATACTATGAATATAGTTTATTTACCGATACTCCTACCATACTTAGTATAAATTTCATAATTTTCTAAAAAACCTCAGGTTAGTTATGACTTGATAAATACACTCGATTTTCTGTCCTAACTCCCATTTCACACCTCTTCTTTATTGTTTCAGTTGACGTGTAGAGGTAGATTGAGGTTATAGGAAGCAGATAAGAAGGTTGTAATAAACGTTCGAGAAGCAGACATATTCAGTCAATAATTAGAAAAGAAACTGACAAGTTTTACTAAATGAAAAGTAAGAGTTCTGTAGTTCGTTCGGATTCTTTATTACACCTTTATCGACTGGATACTTTTATCGAAAATTGAGTACCATTACCCCTACCCCTTCTCATCACCTGTGCGGATGTAAGTAAGCTATAAAAAGCGGATCAACCTAAGACCTGAGTTTTTGTTTGCTTGTACAGTTCGAAATTCACATGAAATGAACTCAGTGTCAATAAACGATATGATGTCTAAAAAAACAGGTTTCTTGTACTCTATCGGAGCCCATTTTATCATACAGTATTTACATTAGCAGTTGCTTGATCTGATTCGATAAGTATAGATTATTTGGACCTTCTGTTAACCAGTGACACAATGATAACAAGGTACCAGCCGTTCTCCCACTCTTACTCCCTCAGCAGTCAGAACGGAAAGCAACATAACTCAGAGATTACTTCTAACGGTACAGTTTAATGTTATCATTCAATCCTCAGAATGATACAGAAGGGAGAATTGACCACAACTAGTATAGATAAGAAATTACCATATCGGCTTAACAACGCCGTTAGTGGGAAGGAAATAACTGACCGGTGCGCAATTAATTACCAATGGTATGAGAAAGACAAAGCAACAAACGACGTACATTTGGTAGAACATACCCAGAAGTTCAGCTTATCAGTAGTATCCTAAATTATCATGTTTCTAATTAATTATGAATTTTTAAAACCAGAAAATGTAATAAATATGTTTAGAGCTATCATTCTTCCTGCTACTCTATAGTGTAAAGAAACAATTATTTTTTTAAAAATATACATGAAATATAGATGAGCAATGCTAAATTAATGGAAAAAAAAGCTGCAATTCATTTACTAACCAATTGATTTCGGTCCAATTACTGGTCCATCTAAATTGATAAATTCATCTGATATAGAACCAAGTAAAGTTAATTCAAGTGTTGCATTTGTCAATGGTTTTTCAAGAAGTGGTCCAGCTAAAAATTGACCGCCAACAATTAACATTTGTTTAAATGCTAATTTATAAACTCGTTGATCTTGACTAGTTCCGGAATCAACTTCAAATGTTCCATAAATTGTAATATTACTCAGTCTTATATTAATCGATTTGTCAAGTACCAACCATTTTCCTTTAGGAATGACAAGCTATAATTTAATGAAAGATAATGAATAGTAGTGAGATATTTTCAGTTTGTAAATGGTAATTGTCACAGACCAATCTCATTTGGAGTATCATTCGAAACCAGGGAGCATTGGATAGTAGTCGTTCAGTCGTAGTATTCGCCTACAGCCTAAATATGGGACAGCCAGGTCTCCTGTTGAGTTCTTAACCTACAGAACCATTGGACTGACTTAAAATTGTGTAGTTTCAACTTTAGTCGATTTATAGTGCAGCGTTAACTATTCCATTCTGTTTTTTGAGTGGTACTTCACATAAGATGACTATGTAATAAATACTAACTGAAAATCAAATTGTTCTTCACAAAATACACATCAAAGAAACGTCCTTCAGACAGTTAAGAAAATAGCACACTAAAATACACAGCAGCCAATCACAGCCATGGATTTTCGTGGTGGGAAATGAAATCTCAAGGTCATCTGATCAGCCCATGCTGGCAAACGTGAAAACCAAAATAAGGCATTATCAAGCGAAATTTGGGGATCTAACATCCCCAACACTAGCTTCCAAACAGATTTCTAGAAACCATAATAAAAAGCTGAAACCTATGAAGCCAACAATATCGAATGTCAAGTAGTGATTCAGCAATACTAACTAGATGTAATCGTTGTACTTGGGAAAGAAATTGATATTTAACTTAGTAATAATGCTTTTAACATGTATTCGCATGCTCTCCGTAAACTCAAAATCACTTACAATTAAGTGGATTCTTTAAAACTAATTTATTAATACCGCCTTATGAGTGTTTATGTTAAGAAAAATAGGAAGAAGACATTTTCGAAATACTTTGTCATATCTGAAGAGATACTATTTCTGTGTAGATTTATTTATTTTGTATGTTATAGAAATATCGAGACATTTAGTTAGATGTAAAGTTAGTTGAGTACCTGAATTCATTAGTTCACTGATGTGCTGATTAGTATGAAAAGTAAAAAGTCGAGAAAGTAATGAAACGTTTTATTCCTCTAACTGAAGACAGAATATTGAAATACTGAATCAGTCATTTTTAGACCACCATTAAAAACCTGGAAGTACTGGATGGCCGTTTCGTCCTAGTACAATGGTGGTCTAACAATGATTGATTCACGCTTTCAATTCAATAACAAGATAGAATAGTTTGCGTACTTAAGGAACTTAAACACCTCCTCTTAAATGATCGGCCGAAAACTCTACAATGGTTTACTATGAACAGACAGTGTTATTTTATGGTGTGAATCATTACAACTTCAGAAAGTTTTGAGATTTAGAACTAATAATAATGTTAAGTATTAAAACTGAAACAATCACAGATTTATACACATTGAAATCATCAATCAATGATTGTTAGACCACGATTAGAAACCTGGAAGTAATGGACGGCTGTTGCGTCCTGGTATGGGACTCATGAGCAGTGTGCATCCACGACTCCAGCACCTCACAGGAGGTGCGAGGTGGTTTCAATGTGTAAAAACATTAATCTCCAAACCTCTAATTGAATAACAGATTTAGTTATTTCACAAACAGCGAAGTTTTTGTAATAAACAATTACTTGATAAATATATGGTCTGATTCATTCAGTCAGTATGATTAATTTTATATTACTGTTCATTAAATGTTTAAATCTAATAGTCTATAATAATGGCAGTTGTTCTCACAGATCATTATCATTTTAAAGAACCAGTGAAAACTAAGGACGACCGTTTGGATCTCAAGAAAACGCTAATAATGTCAAACATGCTGAGCTGGTTATCAGTGATCTTCTAGATGTACAATCTCTCCAAGATATTGAACCGTAAAGATATCGGTATCACTTTCTATTGGAAAGCCCAGAATAATAATAAAATCTGTTCAGCACCATCTTGTTTCTCATTTTATTTCAAACAATATGATTCGGTAATGGAAAAAATTTCTTCGAAGGGAATAATTCTCAATAAACCAATAACGAACGAAGATTATTGAGAGCATTGGTATGTTTGTATACGGCTTCAGTTTCATTTTCATACTCCTTGTATTACAAAGATGTTATAAATTTAACTAGATCACATTTTTGAACTTTACACGTGACAGTCGACAAAACAAAAGTTATGATCAAATATTCCATATTTTTATACCTTATTTAAGGAGTACACAAAAGTTTATATTGTGAAGAATAACATTTCTAATGTGTGAAATGAAAAACTCTAATCACAAACATTAAGAAATTAATTGTACTATTTTTTTTACCGAGCTTCCATTGACTGGTTGAGGTCCAAGCACATCTGTCCATGTGTTATTCTTTGACCAATATAATGCATCGGCTGGTCGAGATGAATCCAATACACTGACAGAACTTGAACTTGGAACAATGCAATCAGTGAAAAAACATTTGTAAAACCATACCCATAAACGATAGCTATTGAATGATGATGGATTGACTGGAGCTTTCACTAAAGTGTTTGGAAAGGATAGTAAAAATGGAATTTAACTTATGAGAAATAACACATATACTTCAATCTTTTAAAACTTAGCCTAGTTATATTTGTTAATAGAGATCTGACTAGAGATCAGAGATCAGACTAATAAATCAATGAATGTGTCAGTGTACACATCCATGCAGAAGTTAAACTGATTCACTGTATTACTTGCTCAAATAAAGCGATTCAACTTTCAGTTTCCATTGAGAGGGTTTCGATATTTCTTACTCAGTTGTGAGGCTACAAATCCAAAATAGCATCTAAATGTAGGTCGGTCATACATGAAGAATTCAAGTCAGACAGTGTGTTGTTAGTTTAAGTAAGTAGTTATGAATTTTTATTGAGCAGCTGCTGAAAAAAATGCAGTCTTCTACTCCCTATATCTGTCTCTATGCTTTGTCCAAATTTCATTTGTGCTGACTGAGGAGAATAGAACATTCCGTAACATGTCAACAACATGATACTCGCTAATTACTAAAGCATGATGGCTTTATGAACGATTATAAGCTACAGTAAACAGGACTTCTAGCGCCTATAATTCTATTTAACAACATTTGATCACATTTAAATCTCTGCGATGGAAAATTCAAAAAATCGATTATTTGTCCAGGGTTATAACTGTTTATCAAGAAAAGTCATTCAATACATTACTTTATCACTGGTGTACACCCCTACTGTCTTTTCTCTCAACAAAATCATGCTTGGTCTAAATGAAAATCTTATAAAAAGGCATTAAAACTACAAAATACACCATGATTAAAAAGAAAAAGAAAGATAAACATTTCAAAATTACCCAAATATTCAATATATTTCCCCGTTTCATTATAAAACACTTCACCATTATTATGTATCAGTGGATTTAAAGATTCACTAATTGGCGGTTTAGGTGTTTGACCAGATAGAACTTGAACCCGGTCTGGTTTAATATCCATTCCCATATGACGAATGATCACATAGTCAGATTGCTTTTCATTAAACGTGTAATATAAAATGAAATCTGATTAGATGAAAATGTATAATTTTTTTGAGTTATTTTTAGTTTATTCTAATATTGGTAAACAAATGACTAACTATATAAAAACGAATTAAATAATCGATCAAATGGTTAACATTCTAAAAAATAGTTCAGTTATTTTTTAATTATTTATAACGGTGGTTCAACAATGATCGATTCCAAATTTCAACGAAACTCAATTATCATCTCCATAATTCTATGATGAAAAATTATAAAAAATAGGCCAACCGGTAACTAGCTTCGTGAGGAAATTCTCAGAGTTCATATGAGAAGCCACACAACCAGTAGAGCTCAACCGTGTCAAGTGTAGGCAGTTACCTATCGAAGACATTGGGTGAGGTTGTCCATTAATTTGGATTGAATAAAGTTGGACATTAATACCGTTGGATGTCAGCTCAGTGATCTAAAGTTTAATATTTGGCTCGCAAGACCGAAGGTCTTCGGTTCGATTCCTGAGAACAGGGATCATGTGTGCTCACAAATGATGAGTCCTATACTAGAACGCAACGGCCACCCAGTGCTTCCAGGTTTTTAATGGTGGTTTATCAATGATCAGTTCATAATATCGATGTATATATATATGATATCTAAGTTCTTTGGTTCATTTTCTTTACAACATTTTATGTCGAAAATAGGAGGAAAAAAATTTATGAAATAGATTGTCTGTGGCTATTAGTGAAATCCGCAATGCTAGAAACAGTTTATTCCTTGAACTACTACTTCCTGATAGATACTGTTCTATGGACCAGGTGTGATGTTCATATCAGTATTTAAACAGGTTAAAATTATTACTGTTGTTAGTATTCTTGACTGAATTTTGATCAGTTTTTGTTGACATATTTCCACCAAGTGAGAATGACTCAGTAAATAGGGCGTCAGGCGTTCAAAGGAAAATGTAATGAATCCGAGTGTTCGTGTTAAGATCTTCACTGTGATCCAGGTAAATAAACTTACCGTATCCCATATAGGATAGAGCGTGCATCCCACATTCCACTGCTTTTCGTTACCTATTTCTTTCGAAAAATGCTATGGCAAGAATGAATCTTAACACACTGAGATATGATTGTTTCGTGTAGTTCTGTCATTTTTACGATTTTTTAGTGTGAAAACAGTTTTCATCACAGATTGATATCAGTTAACCGATTAGAATAGCCATTTTATTTTAGTCTGGAACCACTCAGTACAATACATCTATGACTTCAAACGAAATGGTCATGTCTTTTTAAGTTCACAATATCTTTAGAACGATAGTCAGAGATTAGATGATCCATAATACAATTCACGGTATGTCGCATAGATCAGCCAATATCACTGGTGACCTCTGAGTACTCATAAGTTTATTTTCGATATGAGTGAATAAATAAAATACCTTGACTGTCATAGATGCGGAATCATACTGATTACTTATTAGTAGTATAAATATAAAACTGAAATTTCACTGCGCATATTAATGTGGATGCATCAACATTACCGTACACCATGTTTAATGGTTAGGATAAAAACGAAAAATTTTAACATCACTGTAATTTAAACATTCTGTTCTCATTTTTAAGTTATTATGTTCATTAATTGATATTTTTTCAAACAACTATCACTGAATTCACACTCCACCCATACATATTTAGTCAATGGTCAAAAGTTCAATAATTTTAATAATATCTTTCTAACTGAATCATCTGCACAACAACAAGTGAATATAAGAAATCAAATTATTCATCTAGCATGGAATTAGATGATCATCACAGTGGATCTGAAATTGGTAGGAGTTGAAATTGTAATTTCCGACGCTGATCCAGTTGGTCCTAATATTTATATAATCACTTCAAGACCTTAAAGTATCAACAGTTGAGGATTACCATACTAGGAAGAAGTGATTGTCCGATCCTCACTGGGCTTGGGTGGTACCCCAGCTGACATCAGTTTGGTGATAAATACAATTTAATCTAATCTCTATAAAACCTTTTCAATTAGTAACAGTTGATTCTAAAAGTAAACTTGTACATTAATAGAAATATCAAAATGATTATAAGTAATGGGTATTTCGCGCCGTTAACCTTTTGGAAATTAAAACTTCATTTAAGAATTGATTTACCCTGAAATTTTCCAGATAACCAATATAACTAAGATTGGTAAATGATGATTTTGCTTCCCAGCTGACAATATAAGTTCTGTTATTTACCAATGTGGTCATCCACCCTTGTTTATCCGTAAGCGCTTGAGTTTTGAAGGGTACTTCTTCTGTGCCACCGTCAAGTAGTGTTACAGTCATATTACTGCCCATAAGTATTCCTGGATTTGTTTGATCAACAGCATATCTTAATGCTGTAACATCAGGCAGGCAACGAACACCGGGAACTGCGCCTTGACCAAAAGCACTTCCAAGGTCACCAGCTCCTGGAGCACTTGGACCACATTTGTCAGCAGGTAAGTGGTTTGCTTTACCAACCACTAAAGACCCAGGAAGTTTTGGAACATTAGGAATACCATCTGTCAATGATCCGTCTACATCACGAAGACTGAAATCGCCATGCCATCGAAATTCAGCTCTATTATTAGTATCCTCCCATTTTATATCTCTAGAGTAAAAAAATTAAAATCAGAAGAAGGACATTAAACGATAAGTTTTATATGGATTTATGCGAAAAGCTTGTTTGTTTTCATTTTGGAATTTGAATATATTCAGTTTTAAAAAGAGAGATGACGTTTTAATTAAAAATGGAGAATATTAACTACATGGCAGTTTTTCGAGAGTATGTTAGATGTTAATAAAGAATGTTAAAATAAAATCTGCAAAGCTGAAGAGACAGTGAGCCATATGGATAATTTGGTTTGAAATATCTAAGAGAACGAAAAATATTAGACGATCGGAGATTAAAACCATCTCAATGTGTTATCATGATAACTGAGGGAAACTTATCTAGATATTTAAAATCCAATATTCCTATTACAATAATTTAGTCATTGGATGAGTGGATGACAGAATATTTATACAGATTGATTTTACTCATCTGGTAAATAGTTTATGAGATTTATTTACAACCATTGAATCTAAATCTTGAAAAATTAGTAATTATTAAATCATTTGAACAAAAGAAAAGTGTATGAATAGGAATTAATTAGATTTAGTAACAATTGGTCATTACTCATCAACGTTTGTTAAACAACCCAATGTCCTGTTCTGACAACCACTTCTGTGGCTTCCAATGGCTGCTGCTGGTCTCAAGCCTCGAGGGGCTTGTAAAAGTTAGAACCCTATTTGACACAGCCTGGACAGAAGAAATCAGCTTCTGAAGAGATCATATTGTACTAAGGTCATGAAGAAGAAGAAAATATCTTGTACACACAAGGAGTTGCATTAATGTTGGCCAAACAAGTGAGAAATTCACGTATAGGATGAGAACCGCATGGACTCAGGATTGCCAAAGCCCACTTCAAAACAAAGGAGGAGATTGCAGTGAATGTCATTCAGTGCTGTACACCTACTAATGATTACAGTGAAGATGTTAACGATCAATTCTACGAGAGGTTGCAGTAAATTGTTGAGAAATGCCCTACAAAAGATTTGGCCATTCTGATAGGAGACCTAAACGTCAAGGGTGAAGTGGATAACGCTGGATACAAAGATATCATGGGATGACATGGACTGGGAGAAAGGAATGAAAATGGTGAGAGATTTACGAATCCATGTGCTTTCAATAAAATGGCTATAGGTGGCACCATATACCCAGACAAACCCGTAAACAGAGCCACATGGGTTTCACTGGATCACACTATAGAGAACCGGATCGATCACATCAGAATCAATAAAAGGTTCAGAATGACCCTGAAAGACGCAGACAGGAAGAGAGCAGTTGACATGGCTTCAGATTACTGCTTGTTATCGGCTAATATGAAATCAAAACTAAGGAAGCACTATACAACTGGGAAAAGAGCATTGCAAAAGTTTAATATAGCCTTTCTTCTGGACAGTGCTAGACTGACCGAATTCAAGATGCCTATCAGCAACAAGTTCCGGGACTTTCACAATTTACTGGATGAAGAGGAAACTTCCACCGAGAACAACAAGAAAGTGATCGAGAAAACAATAACGTCTGTATGTCATGAGGTTCTGGGCTACAAGAGATATCATCACAATAAAACCGATCTCTGCGGATACTCTGGATAGGATTCAAGATGGGAAGAAAAAGAAAGCAGCAACCAACTACAGTCAAACGAGAGCAGCAAAAGCCATGACACAAGTTGAATACACAGAAGCAAACAAGCAAGTGAAGAAGGAGCCATTCATGTTCAGGGAAATAGGTGGATAGACCACTTATAAGAAATCTTGAATCAGTCAGCCCCAATGAACCAACCCAACATCGAAGCACCACCCACGGACCTCCCTATTGATGTTGACCCATCAGCAATTGTAAAGATCAGCATGGTCATCAGACAAGGCAAGAGAGGCAAAGCAGCGGGGTCAGACAATATTCCAGAAAGCAGACGTAGCACTAACTGCAAAGATACTCCACATTCTCTTCATGAAGATTTGGGATGGAGTACAAATACCAACAGACTGGAAAGAAGAGTACCTCATAAAGATATCGAAGAAAAGAGATGTTAACAAATATGAGAACTACCGATGCATCACTCTACCATCATTTCCATGCAAAGTCTTCAAGAGAGAGTTCCTAAACCGAATCAAAATTCCTTTTACGTCCAACTTCAAAATCAGCAGTTAGGATTCCGCAGGGATCGATCATGTACCGACTGAATCATGACATTACGTATCATTGTGGAGCGATCCTATGAATGGAGCTTATCACTATGCATCAGCTTCCTTGACTATGAAATAGTGTTCCTCAGCGTGTACAAGAGAACATTATGGATACGTCTTCAGCGCTTTATTGTAGATGAGAAAATAGTCAACATCATATAGAATTCTTATGTGGAACTACACTGCGAAATTGTGCATCGAAAACAGTTCACAGTCTCGTTCCAAATCAAGACCAGTGTCAGATAAGATCATATACTCCCACCAGAAAACAAATCACGCTGGTAATTGGAGCCAAACACAAATGGAAATTGTAACACTCAAGATCAACGGGAAAGGAGAGCTCAGGGAAAAGTTGATCAGGGATTGCTGGTCGTCAGCCTACTTTCCACAAGAAGTAATAGTTGTAAGTCCTATTCTGACACCTCTAGACTCTTGATCAGCCAAACAAGGCAAACGGGAAGAGATGACTATGTAAAACGCATTTTCGCTGAACGCCTCATACGTCACAGTGAATGTGGTGATGAAAACCTTGTTCAAAAGAGCACTTTACTTACTCATTACAGCCATCCCACACTTCTATCCAACTTATTATGCAGTGAAAAGAGACAAATCTTATAAAATATTTTAAGCTTGTAAATTTATACCATTAGTCTATTTCAGTATCAGATTCTTGATCTTATCATAAAGAAAGCACACTGTGTTTACAAACCTTTAGTATTTTTGTATAGGGCTGGGGAAACTGTTGAGTTTCATTAGAGAACACAATGAAATGTCTCCGCACACTATCGTGAAGTGGTTAAAGTTTAACTTCTTATCAAGGAGATTCCAGTTCCATGATCTAAAGGCTAAGTGTCCATATGTGAGACCGGATATTCTAGACTCAATACCCTGTGATAGGATCTTGGGTACGTACGACTAGGTAGACAAAACGCCTATCCAAGTTTTCAATGGTTGACTTCAATAAAACTCTACTAATTCATTTAATTATAAATGTGTTAAATTCAATCATATTTTTAGTTAATACCAAAAAACCTCACTTAAATAGATATTCATAACCACCGCAATGTAAACTGCAGAGACATGTAATTACAGTCCCATGAATAGCTGTGCAATTTTGACCATTGAAATTTCTCATCACCATATTTTCAACAGTTAAACCAGGTGCCCATGGTAAAATAACTGCTCTAGTATGACATTCTGGATTTCCATTGACAAGATCAGGTTCATAGGCAATAATTGTACTGTTCTGAAATATCAAAAATATTGAAAAATGTACATTTTAAAAAAAAGAGAAAGATAAGTAGGAAGTAAATGTTTTGCTGAAAGATTATAATCTATTTGATAGTCATTTTGTATCGTATGTTTATTTCAGTGAACAGTACAGTACTTTTTCATTACAGGTAAGTAGTTTGATAAAAAGTCAACGAATGCTGTGTACTGGGACATGTTGATTCGTATTGTGGTGTCGGACTTTCTTTATCATCTAAGTTCCGTATATCTCCGTCTTGATGACTGTTAATATATAGAACACGAGCCGTTGCCACAATCTGATTATTGTTCAAAATATTTTTATGACTGATACAAGTATCCAATACGTTAAAAATATACATGGTCGATAATGCCATCGATAAAGCTAGTCGCATGACTCTGTATGCGTAGGTGGTAAGTATTGCCCAAGCATACATGCGCATACAAACTCAACAATGATCAAATTTTCAGTTAGAGTTTTGCAGATTTGTGTTTTTACACATTTGAAATCACTGATCAATCATTGTTTGACCACCATTAGAAACCTGGAAGCACTGGACAGCCGTTTCGTCCTAGTATGGGACTCATCAGCAGTGCGCATCCACGACAAAATATATGTGAGGTGCTACAATATCATTTTCTAAAATCACAAAGTCAGGAGATGCTTAGTCATTGAATATTTTCTCACATTAGATCCACTTACATACACACACATATATATACAATTGTCAGTTTTTTCTGCACTTTTCTTGCACGAAATACCTAATGCGCACTATAACAAATCTCACTTTCAGCATAGTTAGCCTACAATTAACCAGTGCACTATGTAATTAAATTAATTAATTTTGATGTTTGATCCTATTTCCTTTCAAAAAAGCTGATTGCTGAGTGAAATGTTGAGTTTACCCTAAAGTTGCATGACTGAGATTTGTTTAAAATGTAATTCTTCTCCTTAAAGGTAATATGGTAGCAGCTTTCTTACTTTGATAAGTGTTTGGGAAAAAATAAGAAGGTGATCAAAAGCATATTCACATTTTGACGAGATTCAGTTTAATTTATCAGACATACTTTATACAAAGGACCAATTGTTGGATCATATAAATTTCCATTCATAAGACGTTTGCCTTCAATTGCTGCCTCATCATTATTCACTAATAACATATCTTCAAATTGTACACTGCCACAGTTGACACATTCTGGTCCTTTATTATTATTCCAAGCTGTAAGTTTACGAAATACAGCCTTGTCCCATTTTGTTGTTCCGCATCTGGAAATAAATAAATCAATAAATCAATGTTCAAGTTTGATGAATGTGATTGTTTGAATGAATGAACACTTTTTTCTGGCAGAGAATCTAAAATATTTTTAATGCTACTTAACATTAGTAAGTGAATTTTTCAATGGTTGTATCAGTCTTATTTAACTGATACTGGTTAACTGGAGATACATAATATTATGGTGAAAGACAGGTAAAATTTAGATGAACAACTCATGTCATAAAAATAAGTCCGTAAATTCATTATAATTTAGCTGGAGTTTGTTACGAGTGAAAGTCAAGATAAACAAAACAGTTAAAAATTCGTGCATCAACTCACTGAAAATTTATTTATGGAAAGACACTAAACTATATCACCGAGTTTTATGGATAAACAGGTGTCTTAACATGTTTTTGTTTGTAATGTTACAACTTATATAGTACGCAACTAACATCGTATACTAAAACGTTTGTTTCATTCCGTTCATCACTTGATGATGCTCATATTGTGAATCAAACCCAGTGCCTTTAACCTTGAGCATCAACGCGCGATCGACCAAATTACTGAATCAAGGCAATTAATGTAGTGGATCAATCAGGAATGACCTAACGGGAAGGCTGTTTGATGAGCATCAGAAAACGTGCCATAGGATGAACACATATCATTGGTCAAAATGGCTTTGTTACGTACGAGGTAGAATATATATATGACGTATTATGTTGTGATATTTCATCAGAATTAAGCCATCATTGTTTATAGTTGTAGTGTGTGTGTTATCGAATTTATCATAGTATTATTTTAGTATGGATTATTTATCTTGCCTACTTTGCGAAAACTCTATTTTAGTTTAGGGTTTTGAGGAGATCTTAGTCTTTCCATAGTTCTTATTCTTCAAATGAGTAATTATTATGGCCTGGCTAGAAAATGGTAGACAGATATTAACTGCACTTATTACTTCAGTTACTCGTTCTCAGAGTACATCAGTAACTATATCTCAGCTAAATTGTAGCTTCAGAAAGAGAGATTTCCTATTCATTGTCACTAACTCTGTTTTAACCTGTTTATTGTATGGCGGTGTTTCTAAAGAAAAACATGTGAATAATCCATTTCAATCAAGACATCATGAATTACAGTTCTTTGTTCACGGTGTCATCTAAGCATATTTTCCTAGCTCTACTTGTAAGATATTTAACTAGATTTCCCTAGCAATATAAATTGGCAAAAAACTCAAGAAATTTGTGTTTTGGTCTGACGGAGGACTTTTTCATACTGATAGAAAATGTAATTTGTTATCAAGTTTCTCCATACACGTAAATCTGAAGGCTTAGTATATATTGTTCAATTGCTGCAAGAGTTCTTCTTAAAGTGTTCTGATCCACGATTAATCAAAGCATCATCAATATGTGGGCAATACAAATCGAGCTTATCGGTAACCTTCATGAAAACTGCATATTCTTCTTAGATGAACCCATCCATATCAAGATTGAAAATGACTGAACGTATAGTTTAAGGAAATTCATTTTACAAAATAAAACTACACCAAATTTTCATAATTCATTGTGCAACTTACGTTCCAGTTTTTGTTGGGAAAAAACTTTCATGAATCCATAGTGCAAACCAACCTTGACTGTGAACCGTGTTATTTTCAAATATTCCTAATGGAATTTTACGTGGACAAACTGTTGTAGTGGTTGATGGTCCACTTGGATTTTCTAGCATACGATACCTGACAGATTTGTTTTGGTTGTTTTTTTGAAAAGAAAAGTTATTTTAAATGAAAACTAATTGACTGAAAGCATCAATAATGACTATGATTTAGCGAAACAGATACTTTCTAGTGAATTATTTTTATACATGTAGGAGTACTTTTGTTTCAGTTAACTATGATTCAGATGACATTAAATTTCTAAGTGATTAGATGCGCTAGAGGTATATATAAATATATATATACTGATTGAAGCTAACAGTAACTAGAAGTGATGTTAAGAACAGTTAGGTTCGTTACTAGTATGCTTGAGGCTATTACGGGTTTACCTTAGTCGATAAACGTGAACGAGACAATTACCAGCATCCAGGTAGTCTACCTTGAATCCCAAGCTGTAAAACAGAAGTCTCGGTAAGCGTAGAAAGTATATTCTACAAACACCCAGCAATCACAATACAATCAAGCATACAACTCTCGTTTATTTATACATCATTGAAACGTCCTTCAGACAGTTAAGAAAATAGCACACTAAAATTCTCAGCAGCCAATCACAGCCACAGATTTGAATTGAAATCTCAAGGTCAACCGCTCAGACCATCGTGGCAAACGTGAAAACCAAAATAAGGCATTTATCAAGCGAATTTCGGGGATCTAACATCCCCAACAAGAACAATCGTAATAAATCTTAATCAGTTAAATAAGTGAGTTAAAACTTGTATTTTCAACTGTTTGCTTAACTGTAACACAACAGTCAGTTCATTTTTTGTAATTGCCGCCATTCTCACATAGCAATTTCTGCATAGGTACATGTTACTACGATTGACTCATCAAGTAATCATTTGAAAGGACCTGATTTCTGCTCCCTTATATATATTCAACAATATGATTAATTTATTGAAGCATTTTGTGCATTTTGTGTTTGTTATTTTCAATAAGAATAACATGTGTGAGTACACAAATTTCATCCTTTAGTTTTGAGATGTAAAGTGTAACTCAATAATCAAGTGAGAATACTGTTGAAATCATTGTTTCACTTGAGAATATATCTAACATTCACTGTAACAAATACACAGAAAAATAGTTTACGGTAACATTCCAATCGAAATCACAAACTAATCCTAAATTGAACAACAAACATTCAAACCATTGAAACCATTTAACAATTGTTTCGTTCTAGTATGGAACTATTCAGCTGAGAATAGTTCATGACTTCAAGAAAAGAATTCGGTAAACTTCACAAACCTTATACTGATTAAATGTTCATTCAAAAAAAAAATTTACCAAAATCCAAAATGTGTTCCACTTGCAGCAACATTATGTTGTATAGTGTTATTTGGTTGTGTAATCCAAAATGCCGCTGGTACAACATCATCATTCAACAGGCTACTAGTACGTTTAACGTGTACAAACAGATTATACTGAATTAAATTGCCATGTTCAATACCATCTTCTAAGAAAAATGCACCGCCCATAATGTCATAAACTACATTATTTTCTATCAGGACTTCATGTGTATTATGTACATTGATGGCACGATTGAAACCTTTATGTATTGAACAACCGCGTACATAAGAACTGAAAATCAGATAATAAATTTTTTTTAAGAATAGTGATTTACTGAAATAAAGTGTATGCACTAAATTAACAATGAACAAATAAATTAGTAGTAAGGATATTGGTTGTTTTGTGTTGTTGATATTGACTGATAGAGAATTTGATTGAACAAATTGGATTAACTTATGATCATGGGATTGATTCAGCAATGTCAGTACAGAAAACTTCCATATACAAAACTGCTTTTCAGCATACTAAGTATGGGATTTAAACTATAATTCATAGCAAGATGGCAATGACCTTAGCATAGTAAAGTTTGCTAATGAATAATCAGTAATAGATAATGGTCAATAAGGAAAGTGAAAATTATTCACCTCTATTCGTTGTAATAATAATAATTATCATTATTTCTATCCTGAAATACTGTTTTAGTTAGACGGTTGGTGAACTTAAAGAATCTGAGACTAAATCACAATGAAATCAGTATAAAAGAAGTCTCCCACTTAAAAATCATCAAAATTATTGAAAGATACCTGTCAATATGGGTTTTTTTCCTTCATATATACTATATTACTTATAAATGTTCAGTAGTAAAAAAAAGAAATCGTCAATCCTTTTCGAAAATATAAAGCTTGATGTTTTCGTTGTTGTGTGATATTTTAAGTTTTTATCAAAATTCGGGGCATTTAATACATATATTGTACGCCCTCAACGTTTTCAATTACTTATCTTCATCTTGCATCAGTTAAATAAACAGTTTTCGATTTGTGATCCGTATAGTTCTCGCTTCATTATTGTTGCTTAAAAATTTTAATCTTGAAAGATATATAAAACACTGAATTTATCATTCGTGTTTTCGCTATTTATTCTTGAGTAACTACTGAAGGAAACATTTACATTTTTATCGCGTTAGATACTTGGGGAATTAAGGGTTGTAACAGTCTGATTTCCTCATTGCTGGTATAAAGAACTGCAATTGATCCGTCACTTTGATATATGTTCGACCACTGCAAACTGCCTGATTATTACCATGAGTCATAAACTTTTAAAGTAAAGCGAATCGAACCCAAATCAACATGTTTACAGCTATATCAAGTCGATGCACTGCTCATCCTGGATTCCACTGCTAGTCAATATCCAACTCTACTTGCTTCTGTTATAACTACTAAAGGTTAATATTTTCACTTATTTGAAATTTTACTTTTATCTCAAACAGTTGGTGTAAATCCTCAAATAGATTTAACCGTAATACAATTCAGTAAACTCCACCTGTGCCCCTTCCGGGCTACTGCCGGTCCCAAGCCCGGATAAAGGAGGAGGGTTGAGCGTAGGGTTGACCACCCCATCCCGTAGAAAACTAACTAGCTAAAAATCCACGAACCAGAAAAGAAATAATTTATGGGCAACATTTTATGGAGTAAGTAGCATTAACTTTGTAAGTAGTAATATTTCTATTCAGTTAAGTTTCTCTCTGTCTGTATATAAATATATCAGTGTATCATTAACTTACCCATTCATCAAACCATTCAAATGAAAATGTATAGGATAACGACCCAGACGATAAGCTTGACCCATAAAATAAAATTCTGTATACGATATATAAACTTTCACTGCACCACTATCAACAAATGGACCACCAATATGTACATGTCCACCATATTCATTTGCACCTAGTTGTTCATTTGGACTCCCGATAATACATGTATGAGTTGCGAATTGATCTAAAATATATACATAGATATATATATTGAAAAAGAAATATTTACATCTTAAGAGTTTAACACATAAAAACAGTCATTAGCTGAATGTAAACAGTATATCTACAAAAATGTGGTAATATACAATGAAACAGGCAAGTAATGCGTTGAAATGAATGAATAACAACTTCGTAAGTTTTTGATTGAATCAAAGAGTTATTCAAAGATAAGAATCAATAACCATTTGTTTCATGGTAAGTTTTGAGTATCTTTTTTACAATGAATACCATAATAGAATTAAAGAAATTATGTTCGTCACTATGTACGCTTGAAGCTATTACGAGTTCACCTTAGTCGATAAACGCGAACGTGACAATTACCAGCGTCCAGGTAGTCTACCTTGAATCCCAAACTGAAGTAAAAAAGGCTTTGTAAGCGTAGGAAGTATATTCTACAAACACCCAGCAATCACAATACAATCAATCACACAACTCTCGTTTATTTATACATCATAGAAACGTCCTTGGGACAGTTACGAAAATAGCACACTAAAATTCACAGCAGCCAATCACAACCACGGATTTTTCTGGTGGGAAATGAAATCTCAAGGTCAACTGCTCAGCCCATGCTGACAAACGTGAAATCCAAAATAAGGTATTTAACAAGCGAGTGTTGGGGATCTAACATCCCCAACAGAAATATGGTAGTTTAAATCAAATTTTACTACATAATAATACAGTTATTTGTTTCACTGTTACCAGTTGATAATAATTTATCACTCAGCATGACAGAAATAAATCAGTTACTGTTACTTTATCGATGTGAATATTAGTCATTGCTGATTGTGCAACTGGTGTTGTTCATTGAATCACTTGACGTGAAACACATTACACATCACAGTCCGACAGATTGATAAACAGATTCTTTCAAGTGTTAATCTACTTAAAACACTTTTGTATGAGAAATCTAGTCAGAAGACAAATATTCTACACAACGTATGTATACATGGCTCACTCTTAAACCCTTCACTACCATAATAGTTAAGATTATTGCTTCATTAGTCATCTGTAAAATTTTTCATCAGTTGTCTAATCTAGATGATTTCATAGATGCTTTCATAGTCGTTCAACATATAGTCAGTGCTTACTTTATGAACAACTAACATTTTTAATTATTTCACAAGTCCCGACAGTAATTACCTTTCTAGGCTTTATTGTCTATGGTTATTTTTGTGTTCAAGTTTAATTTTTGTTATCCCGTTGACCTGTAGCTAGGTTTCTGCATGATCTTTTGTGAATAGGTTGACAGATCAGGTTGAAATATACGCAAGTCTACTGATTGCTACTTGATTTGAATGCTACGCTTTCTGGAATTCTCTGGCATTTTTAAGATCCCTGTGATTCACAGTTTCTACCTTCTCACATCAATAATTGTCTATATGCATTGATATCAGTGACAGCATATTGTGTTGTTTCACTGACAGTTTTAAATTCGTTTTTGCGCAGATGAAGAGTCCGCCTTGTTCACAGAAGTGTTTGTCGAAGTTGGTATAGTTAATTGTGTAGATGATATTGGATTTGTCATTTTTCGCTGTCATGTAGTTTGATCGGGCATAAAATGAATTGCCGTGATTGTATTGGCCTATGAGCAACAGTGATTTCAAAAGTTTTTAAGATCCTCGTGGTAACTTCTGAAATGGCGAGATTATATCCATTTTCTAATATCATACCTTGCTTTAGTGATGATCTATTGAGTTCCTAGATTGTTTCTGACTAAGTTTCATGGCAACCATTTCTATGAAGGACATAAAAAACATGACTTTTCTTCACTTTTCGGATGGTGATAATTAATGCAGTGTGTTTTAACTTTCTTGAATAGTGTCTGCATGTAACCCTGTTGCTGTCCTACTGGATTGTTGCTGCTCTATGTCCAAAGTATGTCAATAGAATGGCTCGGTTTGCTGTTTTTTATTTCCAGTCTTCCTGCAACTGTTCCCTTTATTGATACAGCCAAATATAGGATTTCGTTATCGTATTCCTATTCTTTTATAAATTTGACATCGTCAGAGATATTTTTGATCAATTTTTCGGTATGTTCCAGTTTGGATAATATCAGTTAACATTAAACTCATATACTATTTGATGATTCGCTCTAATAGTTTCTCTTTACCAATTCCACTTCTTAAAAAATTACTTTTACACACGTATGCGACACAAAGTTACACGAAAAATCCTGTTAACAAAATAGGTTTTTTTGCGAGACAAATGCTTTAATTTGGTCATTCAAACATCTATTCGCCTATTGTAAAATTTGACTCTTCAGGTAGTCCTATCAGAAAAGTCGAATAACCAACTACCTATGCAGTCGCCTAGAGATAGTGTAGTAAAACAGAGATTGTTGAATTTTGAAGTTTCAAGCCATCAACTGACTAGATAGAATGTAGCTAGTGGTAGGAACTCATCACTTGTGTTCACCTTCATCTTAGACTTAATGTTCACTGTGATGTGAAACTTCAAAACTAAGTAATTATTTAGAAATAATCGATAGACGTTAAAATATCCGTAGAGTATTCGAAAATTTGTAAATTCATACAGATTGTGCAAGAAATCAAAATAAGAACAACCATATTATAAACTTATTTTACACAGAACAATTTTAATTTTTTAAAAAAAAAACAACCATTATCTTACTTGTACTGAAAGAACTTGGACATTTTGGTACACTTGACGAGACAACTGGTTCTTCCGTTCCACGTATCAGAATATTTCTGCTTAATAGACCAACTTCAGCAGCGAAATTTCCAGTGACACCATTTGAATAAGTTTTTTTCACGGATAATTTTTTGTAAGCTAATTGTCCAACCAGTGTAATTGTACGATTGTCGGATGAAATTTCTAGATAACAAAATAAACGAGAACATGATGAAGTAGGAGGTCTTATAAATATGTGTTTTTGAAAAAGTAGTTAAACGTTTGATTAAGTTATTGAATCGAATTGTTGTATTTTTAATTACGACGGTAACAGTCGATCACTCAGTAACAACGTAGAAACTGGCGCACACGTACGTACGTACATCAGTTCAAGTTGCCATACAACATTAGCACAAAGAGATCGATCGAATTGTCTATTCAAATCCTATGGTAGCAGAAGTTGTAGAAGTATTAACAGTAATCGCAAAAAAACTAGGAATCGATAATATGATTCGAGAAGTATAATCCAGTGAAATAAATATTATCTAAAGTCGCTAACCATTGGTTACTACTGTCTCGTGGACGCCAACCAGGTATTCTACACCTATTAACTTGACTCAATCCCTTTGTCAGCAACTTCATAGGTTTGTGCCATGTTTTGTTTTGGCCACCCCTTGCTTTCATCCAACCTACCCCTACTACATCAGGCATCAGGCATATGCAGCACGTGTCTTAACCACCTCAACTGTTGGAGATTCACTACTTCATTAAGTGATTAGCCATCTGTACCTAGTACCCGTTTCCTAACCGCAGCATCGTATACCAGTAACTGTGAATCCGCCAGTTCAAATTCGATATCTCATCAAAATCTCCTTCTTTAAAATACATTTAAAGAACCAAGCTATTAAAATATCATAGAATTACCATCAAACAGATACTTGATTAATACCTAACCAAAATGTGCAAACTAAACCAAACTATGTAGTTCCTAAGGAGCTATCTCTGTGTAAAGAAAGAATAACTACTGAAGTCTCTTATTTTCGAGTTCGCATCTCATTCTGTCCATAACATAAATATTTTTCAAGATAATGGCTGACTTTTAGACTAACAAGCTGGTATGAAATATTAGGAGTTGAATGCAATTAGACATGTACAGCAATGAAGTTTGGCTCAGTAGTAGTGTAAAGTAAAATCCCACAGCAAAATATTGTAGAATAAGGTCGATCTATCACATTGTTTTATCAGCACTAAATTACTCATATTAGCGATATCTTTTGTAAGTAAATTGTAGTTTTACACATATCGTTTTAAAAAATCTATTTGGAAAATAATTCGCTTGCATAATATATGTATTTACGAATAATTTCTCCCAGAAAAGGATAGTGATCGATACAAAGGCAGATATCAGATAGTAGTTAGCATTTAAGCTATGTAGTAGCTTCTTTGAGTGCGTTTTTGTTGGGATATTCACCAAATATCCTACTAAGAATCATTTTGTATGTGTAAATTCTATTGGTTGATCCGTATTGGTCAATATGATGGTCGTCCTAGCTATCAATGTCACATACTTCAATGTTGTTTCTTATCGGTCGTCCTGACTATCAACGTCACTTCAAATGTTTTTTTCCTATCGGTCTTCTTAACAGTCAATGTCACAGACTTCCATGGTGTTTCCTATTCGACACAAATTATGACCAGGACCCGGACCCGGATCCTCAGTCCGGGACCCATGTCTTCTTCTGAACTCGGTCCTCATACTTTCTGGATGCTTGTAGAATACAGCTCCTACTTTATATCAAGTCTTCCTCTTTCACTCAATGAGGGTTGTGACACTCGGATTATAGAGTAGCCTGTCGTGTCGCCAGATCCTCGCTCTCGTTTTCCGACTAAGGTAAACTCGTAATAATTCAAACATATCAAAATGACATGTTTAGGTTCACGCGTAACAGTTTTATTATTGGTTACAATGAAAATGTCATTATGAATTACTGATGCATACATTTCAGTACATTTAACTTATCTACGATGACATTGTTGTTGAGTTTCTAAAGTTGAATTGAAATAATTCATTTCAATTTTTTTTCGTAGAAATTACACTTGAGAAGTTAATTCAATGAATTCATCTCATCAGATTCTAACTAGTTAGGTTTTATTTTTTTACAAAATTTTTCAAAATAAAGAATTAGTATGAAATTACTGTTGTTGTAGTGTTGCGATCCGCGTACTTTATCAATAAATGATATTGTTACTCAAATTGTAAGAATAATTGACCATATTGATGGTATAGAAAGTGGTCTTGTACGCTGCTTTTGTATCAGTCAGTCTAAATTAATCTACTTTATTCATACAAAACGTTTTGCACTATTTGTGAAGTTAGTTATAACCGATAATCCTATAATTTGAAGTTGTTTACACAAAACGCTTTGAATCAGAATATTTATAAATGACCCCACAGAGTGTGTGTGTGTGTGTGTGACTAACAATCTTGACACACCTGTTTGATAATGATCATATTTTAGAGTGATTTATCATCTACCTCCGTTCTTTCCAAACGGAGTTCAGCCCCATCTCCAACATATAGCAGAAGCCATAGGAATCCGAAAACTCAACCCCAATTTATGCATTCAGAAGAAATTCGTGACACGCCTAGCCCTTTCGTGACCGGATATAACTTAACCAACGTTTTAAAGAAAATTTTTTTGTATTCTTAATTTTATTTTTGTTATTATTAGCATTATTTTCACATCCTGTATTTGTTGATAATTTTCTGCCTCTTTCCGTTTACATTCTTCACTTTCTATTTATTTACACATTTCTGATTACGAAATGGTTTTAATGTTTTGTGATTATTTTATTTATCCACGTTTGACCTACTATACCCACTGTTGAACTAATCACAAACATTTGTTATTGTATTTAACTATTATTATTACTATCTGTCATCCAACCATCAACTTGTACTTTTACCTATGTGTGTGTAATTACATAGTTTATTTCATTGTGATTATTGACTCAGAAATCGCCTTGATCGATTTGACATTTTCATATAAATATTCATGTATATTAGAGAGTAAAGCCAGATGACGATCTAAATGAAAACAGTAATGTTCGCTTATATCTATGTTGTTCCAAATTTCCACAATGGGAATGTTTAATATTGACATGTTTAATGTTGACAGTGGTTTCACAATCAACTTTTTCTTGAAAACAAGTGGATATTGACCTTTCTGGAGAGTAGCAATAATTGTAAATATACATCCGTTGCATAACTCATTAATTTACCTTGGATTACATGTTCTTCAGATTCATTATGCGATGATTTTCCTCCAGTAGATGTAATAATAATATGCTCTCCAGGTTGCCAGTCAACTGGATGTTCTAGTGTTAGTGTATTAGTGCCAGCTTCAGCTGTTTTTGTTAATCGTGTCCATGTAACAACTCTAGGTTTACCTAAAAATAGAGAAATGAAACTTTGTTACAGATTTTGAATTTTACTTAAACAGTACTAGCTTTACAAATAGGCTGTACAAATACTTCTTTTGATAAACTATGGAATACAATAATACCATGCATAAATATACGAATATATATATATATATATATATATATATATATATATATATATCATGAATCGATCATTATTAGACGATCATCAGAAACCTAGGAGCACTGGACGGCCATTTCGTCCTTGTATGGGCCTCACTAGCAGTGCGCACCTGTGATCCCTGCATGCAGGAATCGAACCCAGGACATGAGGTCTTTTGAGCGAACGCCTAACCTCCAACGGTGTTAATGTCAAACTTTAATCACCCTATTGTCTTTGGTAAGTAGCTGCCTTCATCCCACAGTCTGTACTCCACTGACCACAACTTCTCACTAGAACTACGAGAATTCCCTCACGAAGCTGGTCCCTAGTGGGTATATATATATATATATATATATATATATATATATATATATATATAGAGAGAGAGAGAGAGAGAGCTGAACTATTTTGTCATTTAATAATCTCTATAGTACCTAATCTCTCAAAATAATTAATCATCCTACATATTTTTAATGTTATCAAAGTTGGTCTATTTGAACATAATAACTATTTCTAAACAATTCACATAGGATGCGCATATTCCAATAAATATTTATTGAAATTCTATCCTGAATATTAACAACTGGTGGATTGAAAACCTTGCTGATAACGATTTAGAAATATCGTTCACGTCTAACAAAGATGGTGATTATCAGAGCTCAGAAGATTGCAGGATGATGATTTATCAGCATTCGGAATTAATAGTACTTAGCTTCAGTTATAATTCAAAAATTAACATTGGGATACAGCTAAACCCAACTGATGGTTCCCAAACAAATTGGAATACAAGTCCTGAATTTCACTGTTAACTACAGTTTGTCTACTTTGAACATAAATTCATCTAAAGTCAAATTAATCCTTATCACCACGTCTTTAGTTTTCAGTATGCATTGTCGTATTTGTGATCTCAGTAAGAAACACAAACTATCTAAACTTCTGGCAAATATAACACTAACTTTTAATCATTTGAGCTATAATTCTGTTGAAATGTACATTGGATGATATCGTTTGTTCAAGAAAGTACAACACTTTGTAGGATGATCATTTATGGAGATTTATAAATTTACACTAATTTCATTACCAAAATAACTAATAAATATAAATGTTGATACAACTGACCGTGTATGCTGATTGTACCATTACGTAATGCCAAAACTTTAGCTCCGTATAATGGTAGTTCTTTTTCTCGTACATGTCCATGTAGTCTAATTGTAGCCTGTTTAGTGTAGGGTTCTTCTGGTGATCCAATCTAATAATAATAATAATAATAATAATAATAATAACAATACTACCTGATACACACTTTCAGTTACCTAAATATCACTTCAATATATCTTAATGTCTTACAATGAATCAAAGTAATTTCAAAAAATTACATTTTGACGACCAGTGTTGCAGCAGCCTCAGCAGCAGTAGGTCTCAACATCCACAAATGGAAAAGCAAGATTCTTCAATATAACACAACGTACACTAACTAAATAAGTCTTGATAGCTATGTCCCTGAGGACATGAAACACATATTTGGGCAGCATCATCGACGAGCAAGGTGGATCTGAAGCAGATGTGAAGGAGTGAAACAGGAAAGCAAGGGCAGAATTTCTACAACTGAATAACATCTGGAACTCAAAACAACTATCAACCAACAGCAAAGTTTTAATTTTCAAAACAGATGTCAAGACAGTTCAACTATATGCAACGGAAACTTGGAGAACCACGAAAGTCATCATCCAGAAGATACAAGTAATTATCAACAGTTGTTTTTACGCAAAAATACTCCGTTGGCTAGACATTATCAGCAACAGCCTAATGTGGGAGAGAACAAACCAGATTCCAGTGGAAGAGAGAATCAAGAAGAAGCTCTAGAGGTGGATAGGACACACATTAGAGGGAGCACACAACTGCGGCACAAGATAAGCCTTTACTTAGCATCTTCAGTCCCAAAGGGAAAGATATGGAAACAAACCTGCGAAAAATGAACAACAAGTGAACAGAAGTAGGAAGAGTGGCCCAGGACAGATAGGGTTGGAGAATGTTGGTCGGCGAACAATGGTCCATTAATGGTAACAGGCGTAAGTCAGCGAAATTCAAAACAAATGCCAACATCTATCAGCTTTTGGATTATAATCCTAAGCCGAAATCAACCAACTGAACTTGTGGCATTCAAGTATTAATTCAAATCCAGATGATTATCAGTTGCATGATTCATGTCCTAAATTCTCTAAAGCTAACAACTAGAAAGTATAAATATATTTTCATTCTTTGGGAATTTCCTGGTAAACTTGAGAAATAAATCTTTGTTTTTCAACCAAATGCGCTTATAAGTATTAATGGGTTCAATGTTTTCGCATTGTTCATTGTCAGTAAATCAAATACATATTTGCATATGTATATGAATAGGAAACTTCATTTTTATTTAATTTTCTCACAATAGTTAAGTTCAAACTCTAGAAATAACTGTGAACTCAATTTATTATTGTTGTTGTTCAATGGTATAAAAAAAAATTAAAAACTGAATATGAACAATAAAATAATTTGACGCTTCTATATATTATTTGAAAAGGAATACAATCAAGTTCAGTTAAAAGTACATCATCAGTGATTCTGTTTACTCTGTGACCTTGTATTTCTTTTGTCACTCACTCACTCCCGCCCTTTCATTCTCTCCCTTCAATGCCATTGTTATTACAACTTAATAATAAATACATATACATACACAAATGAATAGTGTATAACAATAAAATTGACAAAACATACAAGAAATTTTCCATTGTTTAATATTAATATATATTTTGAATTTAATTGTATATTTTTTGTTGGATCAAAGAACAATGTACCACCATTGATAAGTAACATTGATAGAATCGGTGTATCCATATCTAACATGATACTTTGATTTGCATTAATGACAACAAAATCATTTTCTACAGGAATTGGTTGATTATTCCAAGTGAATGGACTTGACCAACGATCCACATAGTAAAATAGGAAATTCTTTTATCAGAAAAAGGAAGCGATAAAAAATAAGAGGAAAAAGATATAATTATGAGCGTAAATATATACTGATGTATTTTATAAGAAATTAGTAATTTTATCTGTTATTATACTGGCTCAATGGTCCATAGGTTAGGCGTTTGCACTCAAGACCGTAAGTCTTGAGTTCGAATCTTGCAAGTTGCCTAGTGGATCGTGGATACGCACGGCTGATGAGTCCTATACCAGAACGAAACGGTGGTCCACCGATTCCAGGTCTCTAATGGTGGTCTAACATTGATTGATTTATGAATTCAGTAGGTAACTCAACAACCCCCACAACCCTAACATGCAATGTAATATATTTATCAGTTTGAATATGTAGTTAAATTTGATTAGGAGCATGAACTGATTTTAATTTATGCAAGTAGTGATAACCTAGAACTACTGAATGGTAGTTTTGTCCAAGTATGAGACTACTAAGCCTTATGCTTTTACGACCCTCCCTACAAAGAATCAAAACCAGGAACTAAGGTCTTATGCCTTGACGTTAAATATCTAGACTATTGAGCCAACATCCAATGGTGTATAAGTTGAACTTCAATTAATCTATGATATTGTATGACAATCTTCCTCATATCCTACACGGGTGAATTCCACTAGTCACTGCTTCTAATTAGAACTCTGAAAATCTCCTCTATAAGTCAGTATGTGTTTATGGATATGGTTGAGGTTGTTTGAAGCAGAAGGAAATGAGTTCAATGACCGGTCGCTGGCTAGAACATCGATGTGTACGGTTGACGAGTCCCATACACGAAAGGTCATTCAGTGTTCCCAGGCTTCGAAGCTTAGTTTGGTTTGTGATCTCAAACAAATGTATATTTAATTATCGATGTCAGGGAGCTTATTTAAAAGAAATAAGTACAGTTTTGGGATATTCAATTACACGTTAGACTATATCTTACACTGAATAATTTCCAAAGACTTCTAATCATTACATACTACAATCGTTTACTTCAATTGAAAAATGCAACTTAACTGTTCAAATAAATTTATTCCATTAGATTTCTTAAATAACAATTAAAAATTATTAAAAACCAATGAGATCTTGGCGATTAGGTTATCTATTTCAGTGAACATTTTAGTAAAACTCATCTACGCCCATTTCATATAATATAAGCTAAGATTAATGTGTAGAGGTAAAACCCACTGGTTGGTTAATTCTGATGCAGTATGATACTTAATTAATCGAATCGGCAATTTACAGTATCATTAATGTTTATTTCCTGTGCTGTAGGACATATAACTTCAAAACTGGGAAACCACTCAAAATAAAACTATGATAGTTATAATGCAACTGTATAGTAAATCATAGTTCCTAAAGTAAACGAAATATACTAGGGACCAACTAAATCTTATAAAATATAACTAAACAATATATATATCAGGAAACGATTATTTATATACCAAGTTATTTGTTTAACGATTTGGTTTCCATTTGAAATTAGAAATTACTTTATATTCACTATTTGGGTTACGTTGAAGAAGTTTGTTTGGTGATATCATTATTCGTTTTACGTGTCACCTAATTAGGACTTGGTGGAAAAACGGACAGGAAAAACATTTAACATAATAACCTAACTAAGTAGACATTTATCGACCGGAAAACATGCTATAGAGTCCATGATCTCTAGGCCTTACAACTAGCTCGTAACATTTAGGTCATTGGATTGGCATCCTGTGGTTCATAGTTGCAACATTAATTAACTCATGGTATCTCTTGATCGTTATCACTTGCTGTCAGTGACAACTGCTATCTCGTTCATTACACGATCCAAATTACTGTTCATGATGTAGACTTTTCTTCAAATCGAATCATCTTTATGTAGTTCACCGATCGAAGTTAGACCTCAATACCATTGGATGGCAGCTCAGTCATCTAGAGATAAATCGCTGGCGAGAAAAGCCGAAAGTCTTAAGTCAGATTCTGCAGTTCGGTGTTCGTGGATGTGCACTGCTGAGGAGTCCTATGCCAGGATGAAACGGCTATCTAATGCTTCCAAGTTTCGAATGGTGATCCAGCTAAGATCAGTTCGCAATTGCAACTAAGAAAATCAATCATTAGATTATTTAATATGCTATCATTCGATTCAAAAGCATTGAGATGGACAAACTGTAATTTTCATTCATACAGTTCACCATTTTATTCCGATTACTCGTGGACATGTTGTATAATGAGATATCAGAAGTTGAGCGGAACTTCTTTTCAAATTTCAATTAATTTCGATTATTGATGCATGTCGTCACATAATAATTTTTATCGCTCTTCTTTTCTTCTTAACATTTCAATCTGATGACATTTTAAAACAAAAATAACAAACAAATGAAATGCTTACTCCAGATGCTTTGCCATTATTTTTCACAGTTACTACAATTGGAACTTTTGCGGTCCCATTATGTTCGCCAGTTCGGCATATGATGACAGTATCATTCAGTGATATTAGTTGACAATCAATACCACCGACACTGACTGTAGTTGAGTCACTAAAATAGAAGACAAATATTGAGTAGTTATTTCGATTAATCCTAAATCGATTCCTATCGTTCAACATTTATGATTGAAACTTCAAAATGTGTCCTTAAAGCTAAAGAAGAAAAAGCACAATAGTCAATGAAGATGGTTTTTTCTTCACCCCAAAATTGAGATTGTGACATCAAAAAGTATTGCTCATGTATGTATATTTATATTAGTTGTTTAAATCGTCCCATTCGATGTTTAAGACTCTTATTGATCAGTGTCTGCTTTTTTTGTTTTCGACAAATGACTGTGGTGGCTATTGTATCACTAGTTTCCTGACGCTTGGTATCCAACGTGTTCTTAGGCTTCGTAATCAGCTTGTCCAGACAATCGTTACTAAATAGCGTCTGACGGTTTATAAATCAGAAGGTGAACTCGAAGTGTTGAATAAGTTTATTTTGGCACACCACAAAGTGGGTCAGCATACTGCAAGCGCTGAAGGATAAAATCGTCACGTGAGCGCCGGAAAGCAAGCAAACGCAGTAGCGAATCGGCGAATAAAGTGCAGTGGAATGGAGAATGCTAGTGAGCCAACTCCGAGAGATAAAGCATGACTAGGAATTTATAGTCGGACAAAAATAAGACAGACATGTAACAAGCGAGATAGGCATGCACACACATGAATGAAAGCGACGAATGATTGACAAGGTCAAAAGACAAGTGGAACAAGTCATGTGAGCTAGACATTGAATGACTCACTACAAATCCATATCAGCAGTCTTTTTTTGTGTTTACTATGTATCCATCGTTTTCAAAGTACTCAATAATAAGCATACGAGAATGAACAGATTTCTCAGACAAAACAATGACGATTACAACACATATCTTGTTGTGTTTCAACAGAGTGAACAAAAACTTTTCAAAAAAATAAATGGAAAACAGTTTTTTTAAAAAAAAACCATTTAACCTACTCAAACAAAGTGCCAATTATGGTAAGATCTGTACCTCCACCGGTGCCTCCAATTAATGGTGCTACACTGATTATTCTCGGAGAAAGATTTGCATCATATGTGAATGCGTCGATTAATGTTTTCTGTAATATATTACCAGTGGTAGGAACAACTACTGTAACATTACACAGCTTTGTGTTTGTTGTAACTAAGATAAATAAAAAAGTATAGATATTTATATGTAACTGTATATGAAAATTCATAAACAGTAGAATATGATCATCATAAGAAAGTAACTTATGATGAGATGAATGTTTCATTGCATTTTTTTGATACAAAACCTCGCTTTCGGTTATTATTATGAATATTACTATTTATCATAAATTCTAAAGAAGATTATTGATTTCAATTAATGGAATAAGCGATTCCAAGGATCTTTTGGAATTTTAGAGGTTCGATGAAAAGTTCATGCGTCAAATGCAACGAGAGAGAGAGAGCATCATTTAAAGATAATTAGGTAGGTCAGTCAGTCAGTCAGTTGCAACGTAGAACTTCGTACGTAAGTACATCAGTTGATGTCGCCATACCACATCAGCACAGAGATATAATTGTCAATTCAAATCCAATAGTAGAAGAGGTAGTAAAGGTATTAGAAGTAATCGGAGGGGTTAGAATTAGAAGATATTATTCACGAAGTATGATTCAGTTAGGTAGGTAGAAGAATCAGAATTAAGATATTTTCGAAATTAATTGAAATGTCTAAGCAACCTCAGTAAAATTAACCAGGTTCATTTCTGCGTCTGTACGGATATAAAATTCTTTAAGATGGTGGATAAAATTTGTAGCTTAGGTGGATGATTGTGGTGATGTTTTGTTCTCTGAGCTTGATATTTTGGTTGTGGAGCTTTAATTGTTCTTCTGAACAACGAATACGGTAGCAACAACTCAAGAACTCACAAAATCAACTGCATATAAACTTTATCAAGAGAGCGAAGACACACTGCAGCACATATGAAGCACTAAAAAACGAGGAAAAACATCTTGTGACTATCTTCCAAAAGAATGGCTATCCATGCAACTTCATCAAAAAAACATCAACCGAAATCGTCAACAGAAGCGAAATCAAGTAAAGGAACCAATAAACAGATCATCCTATCATACATAAAAGACATATCGGAACATACAGCACGACTACTGAAACCGTTTGGAATAGGTGTGGCACGCAAACCAACAGAATCACTTCAATCAATCCTACGTAAATCAAAGGACAAAATGAAAAAGGAAGAAAAACCAAATATCATCTATAAAATAAATTTCTCAGACTGTAAAAATCACTACATAAAGCTAAATGGACAGCCTCTTCAGCTTCGTTTATGTGAATACCAATTAGCGGTAGAACGCCACAAGGATTCTTAGCTTATATCAACACATGCGGACAATTATGGACATACATTCGATTGGAACAATCTGGAAACACTGGATAAGGGGAAGACAAAGAACACAAGAGAATTTTTAGAAGCTTGGCACTCAATTAGCAATCAACAAACATATAGACATTGAAACAATTTATCAACCAATCAGAAAAATCATAGGTGACATGGGATCAAGAAACAGATCAAAAGGGGGATACAATCAAAACAACCAATCAAGATCGAGGTTAGCAGAACAAGCTACGAGTCAAACGTGGAGAAATTCGAATGCTTCACTTCTATCTGAAGTTTTTGCTGATGGTGTTGTGCAGAAGAACAATGAAAACTCCACAACCAAAAACTAAACACTACCACAATAAAAATCTTTCTTAGTTTAATTTTCTCAAGGATAAACTTTTGTAGCGGGGAAAAGAATTTAAGGCGTTCGGGTTACTATTTAATTTTCGGACTAATCAATATTCATTCTATAATAAACCGGAAAATTATGATATTTAAAATGATTAATCTGTTTTATAAATTTTAATAGAACAAGGAGAAAACATAATTGATCTGAAAGATGTGATGTATTGGCACTAAACATTTTGAACAATCTGGTCATAAATATAAACACTTGTCAAGGCATTTTATATGAAAATTGATAAGATATTTAACTGACAGTCACATAACTGTACGCTTCAAATTCGTGCATTTAAAACAGCTTATGTGTTTCTCAATATGACAGCTAATGAGGATAAAGCGTTCTTCTTCATTCTATCTAACTGATACTTGTCTGTATGCGTTTTCACATATGAGCTTCTATAAGTATAGTTAATTTTATACATTATAACAGGCAAAATGATTTCGTATTAGAATGGATCGTTGAACAACTCTACGCATTTGCATTTTATTCCATTGACCATGTTTGTAATGATGATAATAACTAAGTAATCAAATTATATCTTTATTATTAAGACCTTATATATTGTCCACAACTTTTCTAAAGGATTTACTCCTGTTATGCATATTGCTTATTATAAAAAAGAATATAGTTAACATTGCTCAAACCTCAAAATAGTTTGAAAGACAAATTTCTAAGCGTTTCTAATGTGTGTTTAAGTGAATGTTTTTCAGTTAAACAAGAGTTAGTAGTGAAATTTAAAACACGCGTTACATTCTCTTCGGGACTTGTCAGTTCAATGCATCTGTATTTAAATGTTGATGTTCACAATGAGACTTTTGTCTGATAATTTACATTTCCAATCCCATCTGGTTATCCATTTAGCTGCTAAGTTTAAATAGTCATCAGCTTGTTCATCGAGTGTCAATTTTATTTGTAAGGATTCTTATTTCATCGTAGTTCCCACAACATACTGTCTTCGAATAGGTTCTTTTGGGCATGTGGATATCATGAGTGAATTGGTTCGATATTGGTGTTTAGTCACAAGTTTTAATTAGGTTTTTTGTTAATTATGATTACAAACAGATAAGAAAACTTATCAATTAGAGCTACAGTTTTGCAAATTCTTTCCAGACAATAAAACTGCTGAACTAAACGTGCAGTTCAGGAACGTTTGAAACTAATGATTAGACTAGCATCACGAAGAAATAATCTTAACATTTTATCTGATAAGTGAATAACACTGAATTAATTAGAGGGATATAAATGAGAAAATTAATGGCTGAACTCTTCAAGGAGTGTAAATAGGCATCTAAATATGTTCGAGTGTACGAAAAGAAGGTATACAAATACTCGTCTGTAATTAGAAGCATCAAAATTTTATAAACTTAATAAAAATGAAAAAGAATAGAAAGTTATACTAAGGTGGTGATGGATTTTCGTTCTCTTAGCTCTAAATCATCCACCTGAACTACAAATTTTCTCCACCATCTCACAATCATATGGAAGTGACATGATTCGCATTGTTCGAAAATGAGAGAATTTTTCCAAACGGCAGGTTTCCACTAACGAACGACTATACTTTCTCTACGAATGTCTTTGTCAGCATGTTCTACCAACTGCCCAACGGGATGGCGAATGGCAGAGCAAAGTAGAAGACAAATTGTACAGCTAATGATCATTGACGCACACTTTAGGATACAAAATACCAACAAAACATGGATGAACAAAGCAGGAAACTATAGAAAATACTCACATCAGAAAAATTTAACAATATTGACAACGATGATTGTGATTTCAAACAAACGACACAGAGAACAAAGAAGAAACATACTCGAAGAAATACTAAGGTAACTGTAAATCATAGAATTCATCTCTATAATTCGTATAGTTAAAACTTTTACTCAGTCATCCTGATAGACTTTTATTTTCATATCCCTGTATAGAATGAACCATAATGATTACTGTTAAATCTATTGATGATATTATAAGGTGAACCATGCCTAATCACCTTCTACCTAACGATGCACAGTAAGGAATAAGTAAGAAGACAAATAGAAAATGATCAACACAAAACATGGCTATCAAATTACGCTGTGTTCAGAAGTATAGGCTTCTTCTAATGAAATCTATAAGTTGAATGCTGAGTGAAATGATAAAAAAAATTGATATCAACGACTTAAGTAATGTCGATGCTCATTTTCATTGAGCTTTTAAGTTTTAATATTATCCTATACATTTTTTCTCCACAACTTCATTCATTCTATTCTGACTAAATTCTATTGGTTTAAATGCTTTCTTATCATTAATACAACTATTTTCACTACACCTGTTCGCTTCCTCCCATTTTGGTCATGTGATGTTTGATAATTTGGATCTGTGAAAATCTAACAAAGAAACTATCACATGATTAATATTTAACCCGTGTAAAAAGGTTGAATTTCATCATTGCATATCTTGAAATGTGTCTTATTAAATAATAATCTGTGTAAGAAATTCATTTGTATTGATAGTTTGAATTAAACTTTACTTCATTGCACAAGTCAATGACTATCTGGACTAAGTAACTAAATAAATAACTCAGTCAGTGCCTTTAGAAGTGAATGGTACTGGGTGTAAGTCTTGGAGAGAAGATCAACTTTGAGACGTAAGTACATCCAGCCGACGAGTCCCGAATAGGATGAAACACGCGACCCCGATTCTACTGCTAGTTACTATCCATCTCCGTGCTTATTATCTAAGAAATGGTTTATTTCAGCTTTATATCATATAAGCATTGTTTACAACAACCGAAATGATTAAAACAGGAATAACATTGCATGATGTACATTCAAAAAGATTTAAGAGTAATTAAATAATGAAATTTTAAAAATTACTAGATCTTGTTAAACTGATCATTTTTCAATATCGATGTGATTATAAACAAAATCATTTTAACATAGAGTGGCGTAATGGTCAAGGAATACCATATTTGATTGGTACAAACTAATTTGAAAATTTATTAGATTCATTGGAAACATATTACTCTTTATAACAACCAGTGGAGTTCAATCCTGTTTGGATGTAAAGCATTGCTCACCAAAGACAGTGGATGAAGTTGCGCAACACCATGGATTGATCGAATTTAGACTTTAACACCGTTAGACATCAGCTCAATGGCCTAGACGTTAGACGTTTGCTCACAAGACAGTAGGTCCTGGGTTCGAGTTCCGCGAGTTACATGAATCGTGGATGCGCACTGCTGATAAGTCCCATAGTGATCTAAGTAGCTCGTCAATCTGCACAACACCATAATGCAGATATTTATATTAATAATAAACTTTAGTTTAAGTGCAGGCCTTTAGTTTTGTTATTCTTAAGCATAATAATTGTAAAGTTTTATTTTTATCAACAACATATATTCTTAAATTTTATAGTTTGATCATACAAATAGGATACTTTCAGAAAATATAAATTTACTTAGATAATATTTTTAAGAGTACGAGTAAACTAGGTCCTTATAAAAAGTTTCAATCCGATTCAACTAAAATTAACCATAGTTTATAATTCATTCATATAAAAATAGAAATAAAAATTCAATCTTTGAATAACTAATTTCTTTATTTCAAACAAATAATCATTTTTTTAAAAATATAGTCGGCATAAACAATATCTAGAGGCGTTTTATTCAAAATTTAGCTAAAACATACAACGCGCTTAAAGTATTAATTTATAAATACCAATGCTGAATACAAAACAAAAGATTTAAAAAGATTATTATAATTAATAATGTTTTTAAATTTGCAAGTTTGAGAGACAAAATCTATTTCCGTTGCTACAAATTGATATTAACACGAAATAATACACAGTTATCAAAATAATTCAAGAGTAATGGAATTTTACTTTATTGTATTTGTTTAACCTAATAATGTGATAGTCACTATTCTCTTTTTAATGATCATTTTTGATGTTTTGAAATCACGAATCGATCAATAATAGACCACCATTAGAAACCTTGATGCATTGGGGAGCCATTTCTTCCTGGTATGGTACTCGTCAGTGGTGCGCATTTATGACCCCCGCGGCAACTCGCAGGATTCTAACCCAGGACCTCCAGTCATGCACATGGACGCCTAACTTCTGGACAACTGAGTCGGTTTCTAACGGTGCTATTGTCTAACTTCGATCAATCCATGATGTTGCACAACCTCATCCACTATCTTCGGTGAGCACTGAACGACCGTCCATTGAGTTCAGGTTTTTAATGCTATTCTGATATTGATCGATTCATGAGTTCAATAAAGTAGTTGAACAATCTTCACAACCCTATCATAAAATTGAATACCAATCTACTGGGAAAGATGAACATTTTCTTATCCCACATGTGTCAACTTTCTATTCACGAAACTATAATACATTTGGGGATAAATATGCACAATCATGTATTTATTTACTTAAATGAATAAAGTATATTTTACCATTTACGAATGGAATAAATTCTTCTCTTATTAAATTCAAATCATCTCAACTATGAATAAATTACTTTAGGGGAATGAAATCAATGTCTAGTCTATCAATATAATAACATTTATAATATAAATGTATATAGATTTCTTAATAATTGGATGTTGTTTCAGTGCAATAAAACAAAACGACAACAATGAACAGTTTAATTAATTTATTGATTATTTAGTCTACTTTGTAATGTACATTTGTATAAAAAAAATAGTCTACAATAATCTGTGAATACTGACTGCCATTAGATTAAATGAACATCATTAAAAAAATTAAAAAAAATAATAATAATAACTCTCTTCTAACTGAAATCCACTCGGGTGTTATTGCATTGATTGTTCTCAAAAAGTACATTGTTTATGAGATGAGATTTTTAAGATGATGATCGTATAGATGATGACTAAATAAATAAATGAAAACTATAAAAGAAATAAGTGTTTATTTTTAAGAAAAAAATTTGTAAAACAAAAAAAAAACACTACTACCACTTAAATTCACTTACATAATTTAGGCGTGATACATTTAAGAGCTAGTGAACTCCCACCAACTGTTGAACATATTTGATCACAAATTGTGATAATAGTTTTTTCAACATTCATTCCACTGCCTTCAATCACTACCAGTTGGCCTCCTTCTGTGCCACCTTGGAAAAAATAGAGATGGGATAACATATTGACGAAATGTTTACTCTCTTTAGGACTAATATACACTAACATATATGGTTATTACTTTTAATGTTGAATATATATATATATATATATATATATATATATATATATATATACCACTGATTTGTAGGTTGTATTCATAACAAATTGATTTCAGTTGAGAGATATCACTGAAAACCAGTAAGTAATAATTGGCTGTTTTGTCCAAGTATCTGGCTCTGCATCAGTGCTCATCTAATAACCCAACCATTAGTCAAACCTAGATGTTTTTAGGTCACTGGAGACAATCGTTTGATTATCAGGACTACTGGGTGCGATCATGGATACACACCGCTAAGAAGTTCGAAACGTGGACAAAAAAAAAGATGGCTTATGAACTGTGGTTTTTTAACAGTAGGTAGAATGAGATCAGTCTGTGATGAATATAACCAATACATGAAACCAGTCTCGAAAAAAAAACGCTCCCAGCATTGCATTTTTACACGCGTTCATATTTTGACTTTATCAGTGATAAAGTATTTTTTTAAATCATTTTTCACTTGACGAATTTTCCCCACCAAGATATGCATGTTCATCAGTACAATCTGAATAAATCCGATGACTATTTATCACGAAACTTTCAATTAAGAATCCTAAATGATGGCATAAAAGTTCACGATGGATTTATCACATTTATATAACTATTGTTACGGTATAAATGCAGTAGAAAGAAGCATACGTATGAAATATAATAAGAATGATAGTTGACAGTTTACACTTAGATGTCACCTTATTTCCTAATTGACAAATAATTTCCTAAAAATTCTGCAAAACATTTCATCGTATTTTTTTTGGAAAAGTACTTATTTTTTTAGCTTTCAACTGCATTGATCACTCTCTATGATGTAACTAACGTTAACAGTTAGTCATCAAAGTCTAATGGAATTTTATAGTTACAGTCTGTCACAATCTTTCGATTAGGGTTTCTCAGTGTTCTTGAAAGAAGTTAATGCTATTCAAATGAGTGAATGTGTCAATTAAAGTCAATAATTTCTAATGTGAAATGCAGATGTTCATTTTCCAGCCACTTAAAAGCCGACCATGAATGTCAATATCAATATGATATATACTACTCGCAATATGGCCTATAAGTAGCATTCATTGGAATGCCACCCACAAGTTACTATTGAAAAAAAAACAGTGTTCGATCCGGATGTATGGAGTTTTCAAAGTGTATTGAAGACAATAAAACATCTGAAACAAGACAATCAATAATCTGTTTGTATTATAAGTCTGAAGATTAGTTGTACACATTTTTCAAGTAAACTGTGTCTTCTGTAAGTAAAGCAATCAGTCCATCTGACCTTGACGTCATCTTGCATTACATTCATACTGTAGTGAAGGAGAACACAGGTGGGGTAATCGGATTGTATTTAACGAAAATTACAGAGTTACTCAGTAAAATCGGTAAACCATATCGTAAATTGTTAATTTGCAAAATATCAGTCCATCATATCGAACTGGACTGTTCCTGTTGCAAAACATCAATCCATTGTCACTATTCATGTGTTTCATACAAATTCCATTGTGTTCTAACTCTTCCTTTCTTGATCTTCCCCCATCTTCTGCTGCCAGACATTACGTTGACACTCAAGTCATATACTACTTATAAGTAGCTCACACCACAATACATTTTAACAAACAATTCTGCAGAAAATCACTTTTTTGATAACAGTGAAAAAAAACAACTCATTTTCAAAGAACTAACCTGTATTAGGAGTGATTGAATCTAAAGTAAAATTAATATTGACATTATCGTTTGCCAAGGCATAACCGTAAATCGGTGTATCAACTATCAATTGATACATTCCACTAGGTAAATTCTTGACACAACATTGAATATAATCACTTTGAATAATTTCTGCAATGCATAATGTTTGATTTAATTTAATTTCAGTAAGTTGAGTTTGTGTTATATCGCCTCCATCAAGCATAGTCCCATATATACGTAGCTGAGTGAGAAATGTCTCTTCGGCATAAATTGGACTCAATGTGAAGTTGGTTACTTTCGGTGTTTTCGTGCTGACATATGTGAATTCATTTAAAATTGACGGTGTATTCGATAAATTGATTGGGACTTTATACGTTTCTAAATTGGAATAATTTCTCTGTTCCGGTGTACGACAATAAATTTGATCAATAGTTCTAGTCTCACTGATAATTTCACATTCTTTTGAATTGAAAAATATTTTCAATGTTGGATCATTTAAACCATTGCCAGTTAGTTTGACAATGGTACCACCAGCGAAACTACCTTCTAATGGTTCGATTGTAGTGAAAGACATTTGACTTTTTAATGTTGTATTCGTTTCATATTTTGCTGTACCACGTAGTTCATGGAATAATGTTAATGTTACATAACCGGCAGGCAATGAACCGTCGATTCGACATGATAATGTATTCATAGCAGTTAATTTATCATCAACAATACAAGGAATGCCATCAAGTTGAATTTGTAGATTGGAAGAATTTTCATTTGAAAATAATAAATTATTACCATTAATTAAGAGAGTTTGATTACTAGCATTGATTTCACGAGGTTCAATACTTTTGACAATCGGTGTTGCTGTTATATCATACGAATAAATACAATTCTCATGATGCATCATGTTATGCTGTGAATCAATCCAATCATTTTGATTTCGTGATTTTGTTTGAACTTGTATAGTCATATTCAAACTGGACTCGATTGTTGTACTTTCCGGTGGAGGTACTAGACATCGTACAAAACCTGATGTCACTTCTATGATATTACAGATTTTTCCATTGTTAAAGGTAATTTTATTGTAATCTTTATAAATAGAATCAAATCCAGAACCATAGACAGTCAACTGTCCACCTCCATAAATACTTCCTCTACCATATGTTTTGTTACAATTAACACTAGGCCAAAAAAATGCATACTGTTCAAATTCATTAGTTGAAACTTCTAATAGAGCATATCCAAGATCTACGTGTGAAATACATGGTCTTAATGGTTGTCCAGTTAATAGACCAGCTGAAACAACTTGTTCCTCGGTTAAATTACATTCAACAGTTCCGGAATCAGGAATATTATCTTGATTAGTTAATGTACAATATGCACCAGCAATATTTATGTTCAATTGATTCATACAATTAGCTAATATTGGTGAATTAATTGAAATCACACTATCAGCATAAACATTAAAAGGACTGAATGAAGAGACAATTGGTGTTGCACAACCTCGATAAACAAATCCATGCTTTGTAAGTAATTCAGATGGTTTTGTTAAGATGTCACAATTGATACCACCTTCACAAGTTGTCAATGAATCCCAGTATAAAGTAGCTGTATAAGAGAATAAAATATATTTTAATATATAAACTATTGTTATATATATATATATATATATATATATATATACATTTGCCAATTAGTGACTAGCTTCGTGAGGAAGTGCTTGGGGTTCTAGTGAAAAGCAGCGACCAGTAGAGTTCAATCAATCCTGTTGAATGTAGGCAGTAACTACTGAAGACAATAGTTGAACTTGCACAAAATCTTTAGAGTGACTACAGTTAGACATTAGCACCGTTGAACGCTGCCAACTCAGTGTTCCAGAGGTTAATTTTTTGCGTACAAGAGCGAAGGTCCTGTGAACAGCTAAAGTCGTTGACGCTGATGAGTCCCATTCCAGACAGGAACGGCCGTTCAACGTTTCCATGTTTCTTATGGTGGTCAAACACGACCAACTCATGATTTTAATATAAGTACATTCAATGTATTATAAAATATTATGTAACAATCAAGTTCATACCTGGAACATCGCTGTGAACAGCTGTTGAATAATCTGTTTCCACTATAATTTCAGTGATACAATCATCAAATGCTTTCACTTCTATAATGCCCATCATTAAAAATGTAGTAGATGATGTATAATAATAGGTACCAGGTTGTGTGAAATTGAATCTGTATACACCTAAAAAATGTAAATATTATTATTATATTTTACAAAAAGTATGCATTGTATTGTATATTGGAGAAAATAAAACATTTATATTCAATAATAAATATATTTATTCAGTTGTTATTTATTAAAAAAAGCTAATAATGAAATGACGTTATTTTAAGCCATTTGCACAGGATGTTCAATTTTCAAACTTAATTATTGATCATTTAAAATACTTACTAATAATGATTTGAACTGCACACACGCACACCAAACAATCTAGTGGCTATCTAAAATCAGTAAGTAGTAGTGCATAAGGTGTTAACAATTTAGACCTATTGACCTATTGAGTATAATTCCTAATGTGGATGATACTGGGATGTAGGCAAATTCAGTTGACTAGTACGTAACAAGATGAAAATCCGGTCTATTTATTCAAAAAATCATGTTCAGTTCATCTTGGTTGCAGGATAAAAGTACTCTGGTTGATTTTTGACTGTATCCAATAATACTGAGTTATTCACCACAGTTATCGCATCATCTTTAAAGCATTACTGTATCGGGTTTTAATGTAATGAGTAACGATTATTTAACGAATCACTTTCTGTGAAGAGTCGTTTCAGTTTTCCAAATTATCAGTTTAATGAAATCCATTCCATGTTAATGGGTAAACAGTCAAGTATGAAATCACCAAATTTCATGTAGTGTTGTATACTACTTGCAACGTGGTTTCTAAATAGTATTCAGTGGAGTGTCACTCAAAAGTTGCTGATGAAGAGGACAGTAACCGATCCAGATATATGGTGCGATCAAAGTGTTTTGAAGACCAGAAAACATATGAAATAAGACAACCAGTAATCTGTTTCTTTTGCAAATTGAAGTAAACTGTGTCTTCTTCGAATAAACCACTTATTCTACCTGATCTTGGCGTTTTCGTTCATTAAACTATTACCCGATTTAAATCCCTCAGTAGATCAGTACTGATAATTTATCGATAACCAGTGTCATCTATATCAATTGCTAATCTAATTTTACTGATTAAGTTTCCATGTGTCCACTAGTTAAAATGGATCGACACCGCACATATCATCTCTGATCCCTGGTGGTGAGGTCACGGATGCCTAATTCTGGGGAATCCGATATCAGGATGAAACAATCGTTCATGGTTTGATGACTGGCAGTGGATGTCTAATTTGGATAGGTTTATGGCATTATTAATATTCAATAATTTCTATGAACTCTTTTGCTGGTACTTCCGGTTAGAGATGGTCAATAGGAAAGCCTGCTATTTGGAACTCGTCAGCGAGGTGTAGCAGTAATCTTAAAAGAAGTAATGCTGCTTGGCAGATTTGATCTCACTCGGCTTTACTGTTGGAGACGTAACCACTACACATGATTTCGAGTTACTTAGACTAATTGCCAGATAACAGCTTGACTGAAAAAAATGATCAGCAATAAGAAGGATTTGACGCACTCGACATTGATCAACTCTTAATACATTTCACTCTCATAACAGGTCTGTCACGGCCTGGATAGCTCAGTAGTAATTCCCCCGAATGTGACGTGACACACGATCAGCAGGGATCAGCAGCTTCCTCAAGAATATAGGTACACTTTGTCAACGCATGCCAAATGACTCAGGGTTTCTTGTCGACTGCTTCCAACCAACAACTTAGATCAGTATCAGCCTGTCTGATTAGCAGACTAGTCACTAAATCTGATTAAAACTTAACAAGTGAATATTCAACCAACTAAAGAATTGAAATGAAATGAAATCATATTCGTGGAGAAGACTTGTTGCATTCCCCGCCTCATTCAGAGTAACTAAATGATAATGAAAACTAGTCAAATTGATAGTCGTTAACAATTTCTGACAAATCTAAATAACTAACTGCTTCAATTTGTTAGAGATATAATAAACTTTTCAATGGTAAATTAAGTCCTCGGATTTTATGATAGTTGAGAAGAGATGTCCCTTAATATTAGACTAATTGTTCAGCGATAAATCTCTCCTTTTTTAGTTGGACAATGTCAGATTGAAAGAGGAGTAAATTAATGCAATTCACAACAAAAACAATCGTTGATATGTAATCATTTTTCACACTTTTAAATGATTTCATAGAAAAATGATAGGTTGTTTGTCTTGTTGACTTAGATTGTGATTGGTTGATTTCACTGGTAGCGCTATTACTGTCTATTCGTTTAGTTTGATTGGCGATTTTTCTAACCTGATGTGTGACCCCATGTTCATACATCATTTTTCTCACCTCTTTCACAGTGCTTCAGATCACTATTTCATCATGTCCCGAGTCATTCAGATTAAAGAGGCATCACTGACTTGCAAAATAAGCGTAATTCGTGTACGGCAGGATCAGTCGTTTTCTAAAGTGTTGAATACATTTCTCATCTCAACGTCCTGCGGTTAATCATTATCAGTTAAGTGGTCAATTCACTTATCTCATTAAAATGTCTGAGCTGTAATACGGAGGACCACAGAAAATTATAAACTTTTGCGGTGGTGTTTCGTTCTCTGAGCTGGATTTTTTGGTTGTGGAGCTTTCATTGTTCTTCTGAACAATATCATCAGCACTTCCATATGAAGTTTGTGCTGATGATGTTTTTCAGAAGAACAATGAAAGCTTTACTACCAAAAAATCCAGCTCAGAGAACGAAACACCACCACAATCATCCACTTGAACTACAAATTTTCTCCACCAAACTTTAAACATTACTTTTTTTCATGAACTTCAATGTGTTTTTTGAGCACTGTTCGATAGTGACTAACAGTGAAATCCAGGGCTCCGATTTCGTTCTATTCGAAACTCGTCAGCTAGATGTAACTGTATCCTAGAATTCATGTTAACTTTAAAACTTAAATTCAGAACCTTTCACTTCAAATGCTCAGCGTTTATCCTCTGAGCTATTATTAAGTTCAAAAACTAATCAACTGCTCTCCTTAAAATCGACAGTGGAAAGATTCAGACAACCCTTATAAATGAATTGTGTTTTATTCCCATTTAACCTTCTATCTTAGGTGTGTAATTCTCAGAAAAGTTGAATTATATCATTAAAACAAAGCATCTCAATAAATTTTGCTTAAATAATCAGTCTACTTACTAATCGATAGAATAATCATAGACCGCTGTGAGCATTCTTAATTGATCGTTATGCAATAGAATACAAGTTACATGAAATAATAAATTGAACTATCATAATTGTATTACCATTTTTTGTCGGTTGACCACTATGAAATCCAAACTCAGATAGAGTAATATCTTCAGGACCATAGATTTCAGCTATCATTAAAGGATTGATACGAGTAGTTGTATTCCATATCCATACTACACTATCACCTTGAATTATTGTCAAAGCTTTCGGTTGCCATTCATAGCCTAGACCACGTACTAAAAATTTTGGAAACAAAACAAGAAAAAAAACCAATCAAAGTTTATTTCTACCAATATATTGTATCTTTTGCTTTTGTCAAAATGAATTGCATATTAGGGAATAATTTCATATGAAGTTACTGAAAATGCATTTAGCAGATAACATTTCTATGACCGAGCATCTAGGTCGCTTATATTTCTATGTGAACCAGTCACCGGAGAAGCAGTTTACGTTCACTTGCTAATAGATCACAAACTAAGAGTAAATAACTGTTCAGTACTATCTTATTCTTCTTCAATAATTTACCAGCTGAAGTCAACCAGTGGCAAGAACTAACTCAGTACCTATAAAAAATAATACGTCTACATAGAAATAAGATTGTTATTATCAAGGTGTAGAATAAGTAGTCATTATTTTATATAAAAACATAATTATTGGTACAAAGGGGAACTTAAACATTTATGCGCCATGCGAACCAAAAAAATTTTTGTAAAAAGTAAGAGACTAACAGCTGATCTAAACCGAAGCAGATGGTTTTCTTACAGGGATACTCATCAAGTATTCGATCTACAGGTTTTGGGTCCCATTTACACCAGTGGTTTAGAATCATGGTTTTCCAACCTCTCTGGGTGGCTTACCTGTACCCACCAACCAGGTTTAGGGGACTAATATAGGCATTCGTCCTCACAATTTGTTAAACAATATCTCTTCACTAGAAGGCGGTGACTAGGACCTCTGTTGCCGTAGCTATAAACGCATGTTCATATAAGAGCATTTCGAGAGGGAGAGTGAACTCTTCTCACTCAGGGCATTCCATACAAAAGTAAGAAACGCCATAAATTTTCACCGATGTATATATAATCTAATGCTTGGCAGAGTAAAATTCTGAAGACTATTGATACTATTATGTGGAATTGGTAATCAATGTATTTTTCTTGACAGTAAACTATAGTAAACTATAAATCATCTAATTACAGAGCACTATGTATTATCATTTGCAAGGGATTATTTGTTAAGTATTTGTTCGTATTACAAGTTTGTTAAAAAAAACTACATGAATACTGCTAAATGAAATTGTTATTTCGTCATTCTTGACCGACACTAGTGTAGGTATATGAGTCCCACTTATCCAGACAAATATTGACAAAGTTGTGACATAAACACTAGTTGTCGACAAAATGTTAATGATATGGCGAGGGAGACTAATACTTATTCTTGCGATCCTACCAGTGAAACATTAGTTACTAGATATAAAATGATACAATGGGTAAGATCAATATAATTCGACATTAAAAAGGCAGAAGAAACCTCAGATGGACCACGATAGTTGATTATGTGAACTTAGGTATTCAAAGTTCAATAAACGACTGAGAACCAGAACAGTAGCCCATTGAAACACACTGAAGACAATCAACATACAATAAAAACACAATAGAGCCAGAGTGTAACATGAAATAACCACTTATATTCCCCTCTATAGTCATAGGCTAATTATACCTTACTTTGTCTGATGTATCAGGAGATTAGTTTTTATAGAATATTTGGGATGTGGCAGATGGTGGGATTCAGAAAGCGCGTTTCTTAAGCTGGATGTACCTCTACATCCCAAATTTGAGTCTTCTCCAGGACTCGAACCCACGATGCGAAACTTTGACTATATATATATATACCTGTTTCACAAATGAGTGGCTATTCGAGTTAGGTAGTTAAGTGAATAACGCAACGACACTTGGAGCAAATGGTAGTGGGTTTCGAGTTTCAATGTGAACATCAAGTCTGGGATGCAGGTACCTCCCCATGATGCATCCCGAATAGGACAGAATGCATATCCTGGATTCTACTGCCAGTCACATTCCATCTTTTCAATATGATATTATATCATAATGGTTATATCGAAGCACTCAGCATCGAATATCTGTATGCCTACCAACCCTGATCAAATTTCAGTCAAAATATAAACACTGAGATAAGTGAAACTGAATTAATAAATTAGTTTTAATCAATTGTTCAGTTTAGATTTATCACATAATGATACCTTACCCGGATCAGTTCCACTATCTAAAACATAATGAGTTTTAACCATGGGTGTTGTTTTGCATTGTATCATTTTTGAACTTTTAGACAGTATTTCACATTCAGCACGAGGTCGATCATTACATAATTGATTTGCTACAGTAACTGGTTTCATAAAAACCTTCACATCATTATCAAAACCGTCACCGACTATGTTCACAACTTGTCCACCAACAAAACTGCCAATTTGTGGTTTTATGTCAGCTATTTCAAATTTGTAAGTCACTGAAAAACTGAAAAAAACATGAACAAAGTGTCAGAAGGTGTAAACCAGAGATGAACAATCAAGATAGTGAAAAAAATACAATGTATATTAGCAGTTTCATCGTTATGCATTAACGCCGTTGAATGCCGCCGGCTCATTGGTCCAGAGGTTAGGCGTTCATGCGCAAAACCGGAGGTCTCGGGTAAAATCCCCATGAGCAGAAGGAGCCGTGGGTGCGCACTGCTGATGAGTCCCATACCAGGACGAAACGGCCATCCAGTGCTTCCAGGCATCTAATAGTGCTCTAACATTGATCGATTCATGATTTTAGTAAAAAAACAACAACCTCCATAACTCTATAACAAAAAATAAGTAATCTAATGTTCCAGTAAATTATTATACTTACCCAGAATCGATTAAAACATTAGTTGCACCAAATAATGAAATTGATTTTTCACCATTTACTTTTTGTGCAGGTGCCAATATGATTATTTGTGTTGAATTGATAAATGTGAAATTTTCTACTCTAACACCACCAATGAAAATCATCATAGTCGGAGTGAATCGAAGACCATTTATAATAATTTGTGTCGTACCTATTGAAAGAAAATAAATAATAAAGAAAGTCAGTTTTTTAATGAATTAATGCATATTATGTAATGATAAGATAATAATGACTGGTATAAATTTAAAATTCAACAC